AGGTAAGGGATATTTTATACGGTCTGTTTTCATCCTTATTTGCATCCTTTATGCGCGATAGTGTCCCGTTGCTTTACGATCGGTTTTGTGACTAATCCTTGCGGTACATTTGTTTTAACAACGCGATTCCGGTTCTCGATTTTACGAATTGAATCGATCTGAATTCACAAATTGAAAATTTTAACGCCTTAAGGCGTATCTCGGTACGTGCTCACGAATACTCACCGTTAACAATATGTAAGTTTCTTGGCCATGTTATACAAAGTACATTAACTATATCTACATGGATCAAGTTTACCTAGTGTGCGAAGACACGAGTAGTTATACATATTTTTGTACCAATGCTCGCAGTATAACCTACTATTCATCTTAAAGCATTCAAAGTCTCAATTGTATTCTTATAAATATGTCGGAGAAGCCACAATCACCAACGCCATCGTCATACATCATAGAAACAAACAGGGTGATCGAGCTAAGAGAAACATTGAGCACACCAATCACATTTTTTGTCCCAGAACAATCCAGAAATCTTTTCTTGACGCTAGCAAACGAAAACGACTGACAGTTCTTAGAACGGAGGCACCGCTCTTCAAGAAGGCTGGTTGGTAAGTGTGATGGCGTCTACGCGCCTCCATCGGCTAGGCTCTGTCGTAGCACGAAGTTAGCTGAGTTCCGACAATACCGCAACCGTGCTGCCATCTCTCGGGAATCTTGCTGCGTTTCGATTAACTACCAAACTAATGACTGTCTCTGACAAATATAACATAGGTCTGCAAACTGTAACGCATCACTGCACGGTACCAATAGACTGGCTCCTGGTACCGTTGTAATAATACAATGGTAATAATACAATGACGCCAAGCAATAATCACAACATAGACTCCACAACATGAATACTTTGAATATTTGTTAGGAATCTCAATACAACAGATAAAGAACAGCACGAATTTGATCATAACGATATATTTCTACTGAACTCTACGAGGTGAAAGAAAAGTGATTTAAATTCTGTATCGCCCACATCCGGTGTGATGATAGTGAACAGTAACATTAGCCCTAAACACGTCATTTCGGAACCTCCCGATCCACTAACGTTGCTTTTAGGTAATTTAAGCACCGATCATCGTTCTCGTCAAACTCGTCGCTTGCGATAAAAGGTTCAGCGATTAAATAACCCATAGACACAGCCCACTGAGTTTCTCGCCAGATCTTCTCGGTGGCTCACGTTTCCGATCTAGTGTTAGATTCTGCGAAGCACTGCTCTTGTTAGGGCTAGTATTAGTTGAACTCCGAGAGCTCACCTACTTGTTAGGTTACGTTGGCATAACCTCTGAAGACTAAGAAGCTTAGATAAGAAAATAAAAAATAAAAAAGTAACATTAGCGTGGTTTCAGTTGGCAAAGTAGAGGGTACGGCTCAACCTGTCTGAACTTGCTTATTGATTGATTCACCCTGGTGTAGCGAGTTCGTAGCACCGAGACAACTTCGTAGCATTACGTAGCAACAAGCTACGCAACGAAATCGCTAAGGTTTCTGAACTCCGAATTAGTTATTGGATCCAATATTAAATTTATCATAAGTGCTGATTTAAATTGTTGGCTTAAATTTATATGGTAAATCCTAAAAGCGTAATTATCGGCTAGTGCCTTGTTTTATTAAAAAGCATAAAATCGCCTCGATTTGCTTAGGCTACATTTTAACTTCGAGCGTCGAAGAGGACGGAAAATCTAAGCCATTCATATAACTATATTTAGTTTCTATCATCCATATATCTTTAGCGTAATTATCTGTCAACCAGACGAGCATAGGGCTTCACGGAACTTGGCTACTACTATCCAAGACACATCAGGACACCCAGGTTATGACACACAATATATTGGAATATTTTTTACGTACAATAAGTAAAAAAATACATAAAGGCATAGCTGAGATGATTCATTCAGAAAAAATACTCTCAGTTTTGGCTCCTTTTTGCCTTCTGATCTCAAATAACATGGCTTCGCACAACAGGGGACGTTGTACGTTGTAGGAATGTATTTACCGTGTTAAAAGGGAGTATAAAATTATTTTTTCTTAACCAATTTTAATTTTTATTGACCTAATAGGTGGACGAGGGTATGGCCCACCTGATGGGGTGTACTTACAGTCACCCATGGACATCAGCAAGGCCAGAGGCAGAGCCAAGCCGCTGCCTACCGTTAAGTACTCTCCACAAGCCTTGTTTGAAGAAGGACATGTCATAGCACTCGGGAAACACCGTGGAGGGGAGCTCATTCTAAAGCCGGATGGTACTTGGCAAAATAGACCTCTGGAAACGCACTGTGGATGAACGCAGTGACTCCAGGTAGTATGGATGAACTCTACTCCGGTAGCGACCGGTGCGATGGTAAAAACGAGATGATGGTATCATCTCAAACAATTCTTCAGAGCATTCCCCACGGAACATATGGTACAAAATACAGAGAAAACTGAAGCCCCTTCGCAGACTCAGAGGTTCCAAGCGATCCGTATACTACATCAATATAATACAAAAATGCGAATTAATAGAAATAAATAAACACATACAACAGCCCTATTATAGGATTTCAGTCTGTGTCATTGTTACTGAATATATGTACACACAAGAAAAGATATAACCATATCTCAAATACCAAATATGTTTAACAGAGTTACTTAGTCCGACCAGGACTTGAATCCTGATCACATAGTATAGGTGTGTTGTCACTGTTGAGTCGATCGAATCCGCTTTAATTAATCGATAAAATTCTTATAATATCGAATTAGATGTCGTTGAAAATTAATTGGATATTGTTTGTACAAGGGGATCGGCGATGGGCGCCTTCACAGACTCCACCCCGCACTACCGAAGTTCCTCTGTGTACTTAGCAATAAGAAATTAAATTTCTAAAATCGAATCTTTAATGATTTTAGAATCTCACGCTCAATCTTGCGCGTTTTATATTAACACAAATTGTGGAATGAATTAATATTGAAAGACGAAGAACGAAATTAGTTCTAAAAATTTAGAGTTAACTAACATATATTTTTTTATTGCTTAGTTGGGTGGAAGAGCTCACGGCCCACCTAGTGTTAAGTGGTTACGGAGCCCATAGACACCTAAGACGTAAATGCCACCACCTACCTCGAGACATAAGTTCTAAGGTCACATGTACAACGGCTCCCCCACCCTTCAAACCGAAAGGCATTACTGCTTCACGGTACAAATAGGCAGGGCGATGGTGTAGACTCACAAGACGTCCCATTACCCGTAAAATATACATATATATGTATATTTTAGATTCGTCACGCATTCGTTGGACGAATGTATAGATGTGTGGCGACAGTAATATTTAGATGTACCTATAGGCTCTCTCACTTAATACTAAATGGATTAGCTTGTCTATGTATTTACAGCAATAAAAATGACTCGACTCGGCCCCACTTTGACACGGGAGTGAAATTCAACCTCACTAAAAAAATTAACTTTATAATTTCCTCTGAAGTCAAACAACGACCCATATGATCGTGAGTGATCACTTTCGATCATGAGCATCATGAGTAATGCTTATCAAGCTTCGCTTAATGAACCTTGACTTAAGACACGTTATAAGGCTCAGAAATAACAGTACATTTCTAGAGAAGTTTTTTTTCATTTTAGAATCTTACAAGATAATCTGTCCGGCTCTTATTAAGCATTGATCTAGCCACCACGGCTTAGTACTCTTACTTCGACATTATTCGTTCCTAGTTAAGGTCTTTTTACCTTAATTACCGACTTAATCTTACCACTGACCTAATTTGCCCGCGACTCCAGTTGAATTTCCCGAGTTCAAATTTCGCACCGAGTTTTTTCTAATTTCGGTAAGAACATTGTTTTGTCTTATATTGTTCTCGAAAAATACATTTATCTTTCGATCGGTTCTGATGTTCTGAAGATCAATTCGAACAAAACACAAACAGGCAATAAATAAAAGCGCGATTTATACGTTCGGAATATCAGACTGAAAGTTCAATTTTGTTTACTTGTAACTCTGTAAATAAAGCAGTTGATGCATTGCACTATTTGTGAGACTGTCAAATGTGCGCGACATTGGCGGGCCACCACGTTTTTCTTTTTAACAAAAATAATTCCCTAGGCGACGTTCACACAGTTTTATACGCACATAACTTATATCGGTTCTTGAACTGTGAAACAGAAACACATTGACGAAAAGTCAGTTGAAGATTTACTTCATATATTATTAGTGTGAATGTAAAATAAAGTGCTTCTTTACCCTTGTAGCATGAGATATATCAAGCATGCTTCACATGCCGTACACTGGACGCTCTCTGGTTCACTGGTAAGCATGTCGTGCCATATAAAAGTATCATAAAACAAAGATTTATTAACAATTGCGATAAAAATAAAAATAAAAAATACCCCAATATCCGTGATTACGAAAATTATAAAATAAAAGTATTGGAAAGGTTAGAAATTAACAGAAAAAGACACCTGCTCTATTTCAATATCTTAGAGATTCAATATCGTGTCAATATCACACGTTTGTCATAAACATATCAATTGGAAAATATGTATTTAAATTACTGTGAATATTTCGTGAAGAGGCTTATATTGTTATTATATGAATATGGAGTTATAGGAATATTGTTTTCAAATAGCCTGCTTTTGGGAGTAATTTCAATTACGTTAGCTGATTTTCATCTCAAGAATCGTCCGCGTGCTGATCGTATGTGATAAATATATTTTCATATTTCCCGATATGTGTTATCTATGATTCTCACAAACACATACATTAGTTCACCATTCGTCAAGTAAAGTTCAATAAATAATGTAACTCACAATTAAAGAAAATACATCGTTTCTCTGCACAAGAACGTTATTTATCTTCTGTTTGTTATCTTAAATGATTTTCGGCAGCCGAAGAGAGAAATTGTTAATATCTCCCCACACCTTTAGCAGCCAATCTCGTAAACTACTTCCACTTGTCGAGGGAGAAATTTATGAGCACTAAACACACTCGCTCAGCTCCCTATCAGAGTGATAGATTTCGGATTACGAAGCCTCGGGTAAGTGATAGGGAATCAACTAAAATACACTGGTTGGTTGTTCATACCTCTCACTGTAACGAGACAATATTCAGCAACATCAGGACGTCGACATGGCACACTTATTCAAGTCCTTATGAACATACAGGGTTCGGTCCACCGAGCAAAAGAGCCGGCCGGGAAGCATTCACCCGTGAACAGCAGCCGGGCTCACGAGCGCGACGGGACCGCGACGGGTGTCAGCGCACGTGGCGCCAGGGGCTGCGGGTTCGGGCGCTCATGGTGGCGGCACTAGACCGAGGGGAGGCGCGAGCACGCGACGTGCTCCATGGCCGTGCCCGAGCCGCGTCCAGGTATCGACCGCGACCGGCCGCGCGCCGCCCAGCGACTGACGCGCGACCCTTGCGCGCGCATCCTCCGCGCCGTGCCCCGCACCCGCCAACTTCAACTCGATTCTAAGAAAAACTAAGCCCGTTTTCCAACTTTATCGTTTCGACTACAATATTATAAAAGCGACACCTGACAGCCGAGATTGATCCATTGTTTTTTGACCCGCAATTGGTATTCAAAATTCGTTCTTGTGTTACCTTGAATTTGAAGTTGAACTCTTTTCTCTCGTATTTCGACAGAACACGTTTTCGCTAGAGCACTAAGCACGTAGACATTAGAGCTATTTTGGCTTGCTCCGGACAATGAACGGTGGAGGCCTCGTGTTTATTTTTGGCGACGAAGGCTCCGTGCGAGAGCGTCGTGCCCTCTCGTTACCATGGCGACGCGCCCCAGACGCCGCCGAGCCTCCCCGAAGGGCGGCGGAAAAAGTCGAACTCATAAAACCGAAATTACGATACAGGACACATTGATAGACAGCAACAGAGATAGCCGAACCAGAGATTTTTAAATTTGAATTTTTAATAACTGATCCAGTTTTTGAACACGCGGTGGTGAGATCGCGGATCGTGAATGCTCGTTTTTTAGTGTATTTTATTGAGTGCCGAGACAAGAACGAAATCGCAACTGCAAGTAGATGTGCTTGCGGCCCACCGGACGGTGAATGAAGACCTTTGGACGCATATGGACGTCAGCAACGCCAGCGCCAACGCCGCGCCACAGCCCACGACTAAAATTGTAAAAAAAAAATTACCTCCAGACACACGCTGGACAAGTAACAAATGCTGAACGAGGCCCTAGCTACAGCAATACAACATACGTCCTTCTATCCTAGTACTGTTACGGCCCGGAGTGAAAAGAAACTTTTCACTGATTTATTGGAAATAGGAAATTTAAAATAAGTGGTACAAACAGGACGTGTTTCCGCGGCAAAAACCAAATCCACTCTAATTTAACTTAAATAATAATTTGCAATAAATAGTTAAAAAAGTATTAGAGGCAGCTTAGTCAGCAATTATATTTATATTCTGTTGATAATGGGGAAGATTACTAAGCGAGCACATAGCTAAGGCTTAGTAAGATTCGTTGTGATTTAAGGTGTGCTTTATTTAATTTGAGGTGTATTTTACTTAAAACATCTTGAAGTAACTGCGAGCGACACATAACCAAATTATCAGTTGTCGCGTCTGCCAATTTTCCAATTCACCAAGAATAACAATTTTGCGGGTGAAACCTTTTTAGAGTATAATATATAGAAACACTCGGGGAAGAGCTCATGCAAATGCCGGATAGATAATGTTAAGAAGAAACTGACTACAAATGGCACGTTAGTTCCAGTTAATGGGATGAACTCTGTGCCAATAGTGATGAGATAATTCAAATAATTCAAAAAAATCATGAGATCTTTTACGGAGACCAAAGCGTTGGAATCATTCGTGAGATCAAAAAAATTGACAATCAAACGGCCTTCTGGGAAACGGTATTCACAGGGAAGGATGTGGGTGGTAAAATAAGTTTTGCCAAAAAACCTTTTTTTGGGATGCGCCTAAGCACATAAAATTTAATATAGAACAGGCGTTTTGTGAATTCAATATAATGATTTTTTTTATTCAAACTAATTAATATGTTCCTTTATAACTTGTCTGTCTGTTTAATTGCATATCCGGGGAAATTGTCAAAAAGCTAAACAGATAATGACCAGAATTCGCTCGGCAGACATCTTGAAATCAGATTTTTGGTTAATTTTTATCCGGGAAAACTTACATAGTTAGCCACAAAAATATAGGTCTCCTGAGTAAAAAAAAAGCTTAAAAAAAGTTTCCTGGGTTTCATATTTTTTTTCCAATACTTACATTTAAGTTGTTTTTTTATTGCATGCATGAAAGTATACAAGAGTTCTTGACCCATTGGTTGGTAATGGTTACCTAGCCGGTAGACGTCAAAACGTGAATGTCACAGCCCTCCTTGAAACATGAGGTTGAGGTTTCATTTGTGTCCTACACTATCAGGTTCACTTGGAATTCAAATTCAGGTTCAAACTGGAACGCATGACTATATGACGCGGCAAAAATCCAGAGCCTTTGGATATTATCACTGGTGGTAGGACCTCTTGGGAGTCCACACGGGTAGGTACCACCACCCCGCCTATTTCCGCCGTGAAGCAGTAATGCGTTTCGGTTTGAAGGGTGGGGTAGCCGTTGTAACTATACTGAGATCTTAGAAGTTATATCTCGAGGTGGGTGGCGCATTTACGTTGTAGATGTCTATGGGCTTCAGTAACCACTTAACACCAGGTGGGCTGTGAGCAAAAAAATTTACACAATTTACCAAAAAGTTTTAAGGACCCCTTTTTCCTCTGTAGGTCAGCCGATTGTTTTTTTCACGGCTTGCTATGCCCTAACCTTCAGATACCAATAAAATTCCTATCAAAAGGCTTTTCAGAATCTCATGTAACACCTCAATCGTTACATTTCGCTAAAGGATCGGAATGTTTGAATCTATGAGTACGTTCGGAGGCTATTGGTCAACATCAAAGGCGTGGCGTCAAAATACGAGCAAAGGAAAACCGATAACCGGATTTAATAGCCCCGGGCACACCACGGATATTAAGGATAAAAAACCACGGTTGTTTCTCTGGGATGTGTTTTTAACTTACGCTGATAGATACCACCTATTTGAGCTGCAAAAAATTTTTCATTGGCCATACTGATGTGATGCGTGGGACAATTAGTTCCTGAGGAACGTGGTTCTCCACGATGACCTGGAGCTCGACCCCGTCAGTAAGTATCTACAGTCGGCATCGCTGCGCCACTTCGAGAAGACGGCACGACATGAGAACCCTCTTGTCGTGGCCACTGGAAACTACATACCCGATCCTGTACACCGAATGGTAAACCGTCGACGTCGCCCAAAGCACGTCATCACAGATCCTCCTGATCCATTAACGACAGACACAGCCCACTGAGTTTCTCATCGGATCTTCTCAGTGGGTCGCGTTTCCGATCCGGTGGTAGATTCTACAAAGCACTGCTCTTGCTAGGGTCAGTGTTAGCAACTCTCCGGTTTGAGCCCCGTGAGCTCACCTAAACACGGTAGGGTAAGCTGATATAGCCTCTCAAGGCTATCAGCATGGGTAGGAAAAACAGAAACAACGGGACTACTTCTCTATAAATCTAATAGGGATTTCGACCTTATTTCTCAAGACGGACGGCTGTATTCACGTTGTGATGTCTATGATCCCGGGAGCAATTTAAAAACCAGGTGGACTAAGCTGATTCATCAATGTAGTGCTAATCAAAAGTGTCATTTAAGTTGTTTGTCATATAAGAACTGCCTTTCATCATGTTGTGGACCACGGATAATCTTCCTCCGCTGGACATTTAAGATCTAAGAGCTGATTAATGTTTTAAATCTTCGGACGGTAGAGAAGATCTTTCATAAAAATAGTCGACTATTCATTAGGAGATAAGGTGGCGCGATACCGACCACCTCTACTGCTAGACTATCCCCTTATCTCGACAGAGAACTAAAGTCATCAAGACAGCTCAAATAGTCTGCAAGCTGAAGTTCTTTTTTTTATTGCCCTTGTTGAATAGACAAGTTCTCGAGTAGAGACCTTGCTGCGGAAGACGTAACGCGGGATGCCCTCTTGCTAGGTAGTGCGATGATCTCCGAAGGGTGGCCGGCAAGAGGTGGATGAGGAAAGCCGAAGACCAGGCTCAGTGGTGTGGATTGGGAGAGGCCTATGTCCAGCAGTGGACGACTGTGGGATGATGATGATGATAATATTACAGCAGCCACTCCTTACTACCTCTCTACTTTCCTCCACATTATCTTCAACCTCCAGAATTGTTTCTAAGCTCTAATTTTACTATTAGTAGATATTCTATGTCTTTCATAGCTAATGAAAAAGCTAAGGACATACGAGATATGGTCCAGATATTTGGCTCGCTGCGAAGCTTCCCGCCCGTGATCCGCCCGGTCCTCGGACACTGGGAGAATCGAATCGCAATAAAAGCGGTCGAACATTAGCGGACGTCTTTAAGGTATTGAACTGTGAAAAACACTAACCAAATCATATTAAGAAATTAAAGCGAAATAATTTAAAAAAATAAACTTATACATCATATTATAATAATATATAAATGGCTCATGAAGTAACCCATCATAATAAATAAATAAATATACAAATAAATAAATAAATAAATTTGAAAAACAAATATTTTCTCATTATTATGACGAATTGATAAATAAATTATATAAACAACATTTTGCATTAGAAAAAATATGTATGATTTTTTTCTAAGTAGTACAATACACATATGCATTTCCTTCATTATAAATCAATTCCAATTTTAGTCTCTTAATTATTTAGTGTATTCTATTCATGCTTTTTGTAAATCACTTGTGACTGTGATGACATCTACATTAAAAATTAGGAACTATTTGAGTGTGGCGCGAGGGGTGAACTAATCTAGCAAGCCGCATTAACTCTGCGTATCAATGTCCATCTCGCCGGATCTTCTTAGTGGGTTGCAATTGCGATCCGGTAGTACCTAGATTCACCGAAGAACTGCTGTTGATAGGAACAATGCTGTTGATAGGTTGCTAACAATTTTCTCAGGTTGAGCCCGGTCCCGGTGATCTACCGGTGCGTGCGAAATGGGAATAGACCAACGATTAGACAGGAAAAAAAAATTGCCGTCAAAATCCTTAAATAGAATGACACCTCTATATTATAACAATGTGCACTCTGAAGTTTTTTTGTTAGATAAACATAAACATGTAGACCGAAATTGGGTGAATGGTTTTCTTTGGTTAATTTAGTATTTCTTCGTTTAATATTAAACCTGTATTAACTCACCTATTAAACGATTAGCATCTGTGAAAATTCACAACTATTGGGAAATAAAACAAAGCAGTTGGACGCCGCTTCTCGGATTTTCCAAAAATTCCATCTACCGGCACTTAAAATGTTGTCTTCTTTCACCTCATTTAATTCGATTTCGTCACTCGCGCTTAATATTGATTCAATCAATTTCATTGCATAATCAAATTCATTTCTCTTTGATTCATAACGTGGCTATGGCTTTTGTTACACAAGCTTTGGCATAATGAGCAACGATCTTTTTGCCTATCCAAAGAAACATCGCTGTCAATATACTTGATGAAAAAATTGTTAACTGTCATTGAAATAGGTTATCGAATTTCCAAAATGTTTTGATTTTTAAATGGGAAGGAATTAACTTTAAACACATTGAAGTATTTAATAACAAATAATTATCATCTATCATGGCACTTCTGCGATCGGGACTGCAAAGGGTCGCTAATATATTTGGTGGAACACAAGGTAAGCACAACTAAAATTCAAATTTAACCTGGTTTTGAAGATGAAATTACAAATTAAATACATTTCAGGTGGTATTTTATCGAGATTCGTAACAAGTTTAGTCCCATCTGAAAACAAATCTGTAGCAGAAACATCGAAGGAGGTCATCGCTACATGTAATAAATTGATCGAACAAAATGCTTCAAGAAATTTTGCAATTGTCCACATACTTGGTAAACAGTGGCGCGTGACTGATGGTGATCTCCTTGTCGTCGAAGGCTACTGGCCACCAAACATCGGTGATCAAATAACATTGGATAAAGTACTTGTTGCTGCCACTAAAGACTTCTCGCTTATTGGCCGCCCATTGGTCCAACCTGGATTAGTAACGGTTACCGCTACAATAATTTCTAAGGGATTATCCCACACTAGAACCCATTTCAAAAAGAAGAGAAGGAAGCAATTTATGAGAATAAATTTTCAAAGAGCACAACAAACAATATTAAGAATAAACTCAGTGGAAATAGGAAACAAAATCAATGAGGGAAGAAATGATGTTTGACTATGATTAGAAATAAAACTAGCTTAGGTATTCTCATGTTTTATTTACTTTTAAAATATTTTTTACATAAATATACTATATCAATTTCACAATTTTAATAAGTTAATCACCACACCTCCTTGGCTGTATTAATTAAGACTGGCATAAATCATTACAGCTAGATCAACCCTGAGCATTATTAAGTTCTTGGTAACAAAATTCCTGAAATATTGCATAAAAATTTATTTCTAGTTTAGAATTGTTGATCATAAAAAGTGATCATTGGGTATGCATTAAAACTTTTAATAAACTTCAAATCCATGTTTTATATCTTTTACATCAATATAGCATGCAAATATTTAAATTATTTTTTGCATTGAACATAATTTACATATCTAGTTGCCTATCATGTTAATACAAAATTGCTCTTCTATCAGATACCACACTTTGATATATAAATTTATAAAAAATAGTTCTGAGTTAATACATAGATTAAAATAAAAATGTTTAATGAAATAGCTATTAAAAGGCTTTGCATAATGACTTCCCACATAATTTCTATTTTTACTGGTGCCAATGTAAAATTTAGACAAGGAACTTTTCACAATATAGTTAAACATACAAAACCTAAATGTCATGTGTCAAATTTAACTTTATCACAATATGCTTGAAAATTATTTTTATGTTCTTCTTTAAGAAATCTTTTCATGCCCTTCAATAAATAAAACATATTTCTGTTTTCAAATAGATTACCTAGGGTGGTCACAAATGCTGAAAAATCCCCTTCTCTTTTATAAGCTGATATTGAACCTTGAAATAATTTATATTGTTCTGGTTGTAATAAAACCTTTATTTCTTTAACAAAATCTACTAGTGATGTAGGTGCAGTTTTCTCTACTATGTTACTAGGTTCACTTTTCAAATTTTCATCAAAACCAAAGGGTTTAATTTTGTATTTTTTCTTTTTAGATACATTTGCTAATAAATTGTCTTCAGCAGTTCTTTTGTTTATTGCCACTAAACTCTGAGTTGAAGATTCATTTGCTTCAACACTTGTATCTAGAGCACTAAATAAATCTTTTGTTTGTTTTGGTCGAAATTCATTTACATAAGCTGAAGAATGAGAATTTTTGTAGAAATCCATTGAAAAATCTGCATACACTTCATTAGAATTTGGATATTGACTTACATTCTTTTTAGTAGATTTAACAGTCCTAGCAACTGTAATTGGAAATGATACTCCACCAACATTGACAGATTGTTGTCTGTTTGATTCATTTGACATCAACGGCTTTAGTTTTGGAGCAGGCAATGCCATTTCAGCATTCTTATAGAAGCGGCATATTTCACTGACAGTCTCACCAAATTTATTGGACACATTTATGTAATTACGTAGCCAAGCTGACAACTGACCTTTTAATTTTGGACTGTTGAATCGGCTATCACACAGAAGAATAGCACCATAATCATTCTGATGCCTTATAACTCTGCCAATAGCCTGATTGACGGCTCTAGTTGCTTCTAAAGAGTACCATTCGTCTCCTGACAAAAAGTCCTTTTCTTTCATTCTCAATTCGTCTAAATATTTCTTCTTCAATACAATTCTTGGATCCTTAAGAGGAGGAAATGGTAACCCAGTTATTATCACAGCTCTTCCATTCATATCAGCAAAATCCAACCCTTCTGACACTTTACCTCTACAAACTGCCATAAAACATGCACCCCGTGTACTTGGATCACTTATTTTGCTGTAGTAATCTTTAATGATAGCATTGAATGTATCTTTCCTTTGCGGTTCCACAAATATTGGTTTGATGCTGTTAATATTAGTCCAAATTCCTTCAGACTGCCACATTTCTTGGCATTTATTCATGATTGGGTATGAAGGGAAGAATACTAAAAGTCCATCTGGTACAACTCTGCTAAAACTTAATATTGTTCTTCCCAAAGAGGTTATATACTTAGGATTGTCTCTGTTCTGATAATTAGAATTTAGTTGGACCCCATCTGGCCCTTGTCCAATAATTTTTACACATATTTGATTTGATTTAACAATATGTGGATTTTCTAACTGTACACCTATTGGAATACCCAGTTCAGATATGAGGGGTTTTAAAGGTGCTAAAGTACCACTTGTCAATATTATGCTTCTAACATTCTGTTCAAGTAATTGCTTCATGCCAAAACCAGGGCTGAAGCACCAGTAACTTAGTATCCTCTCTGTAGATTTAGAACTGTTCGGCTTCAGTGCACCCCAACCTTCTGTTTTCTTATTGCTTTTTTTATCCTCAACTTGTACATGTACTTTGTAACATAGCTTAACCCTTTCTTTGTGTGAATGACTAGTGCCACTAAACACAACATTTAAAAGATCTACAATTTTCTGCAACCCAACACCTTTGCGTTGAAAGGGTGATGAACTTGCTGTTGCTAGATATTGAATGAGATTCTCAATCATGGTTATCACGGCCATTTGGTTATGATCTCTGATTTCAGCCTTGGACAGCAAATCAAATATAAAACCACCTGGATATGTACTACCCTCTCTCCCAACTTCTATATCATCTACAGCCTTTTCAAAGGCCAGCATCATTTCTTTCAGTATACATAAATCATCACAAGTAAAATCCTTAGGTTGGCTACTATCAACTGTCGCATCTATCTGCTCCTCACTAGTCTCACTAAAGCTCTTCATGACATGTGTTATTTCATCAATACACAGAGCTATATCTGTGGTCCTTATCTGAAGAGATGCAGATTCTTCACACATTTTTTCAACATTATGAGCCTCATCCAAAATAACAATGTTATTCATGAGTTCCACTCCATTTGCCTTTCTTGATTTCGGATCCAATAAATAATTATATGGCATAAATATTATATCAGCATCTTGTTTTAGCTCCTTCGATAAATAATATGGACAGCATTTTAATTTCTTTCCTACACCTACTAAATCTTCTATATCTAAAATATCATCACCTCTCACTGCTCTGTCATCCTTCTTAGATTCAACATTGTTATAAAAGAAGCAAGTTCTAGATTTCACTTTTAGTTGGCACATATTTACTTTATTGTTGTTGTTTGGTTCTTTCGAAACTTCGGGATGAATGCACATCTGATCTCGGGAGCCCAAGACCGCAGCTTTGACATGCTTGTAACTTGACCTCTTCAATTCCTGCATAGCCTGTGTTAATTGTGAATGTGTTCTGGAAGAATATATGATTTTAGGCATACCCCAAGACGCATCCTTGGATTTTCCAGTGCCAGATTTTAAGTTATCTATTAACTTGCCAGTGAAACCGCTGTGATCTGAAAAATTACCGACCTGCGCGTTCATTTGCAGTTGAGCCTTTTTCACTAGTAGCCATGCTAATGATGAACACAATAGACTAAGGGTCTTTCCAGTTCCGGTAGGAGACTCCAATATTGCGTTAGTGTTATTCTGAAGGCTTTCAATTACGCGGCACATGTATTCTTTCTGCACATCGTAAGGGTCGAAGGGAAAACTTACGGGAATACCGGATATCATTATATCAGGCATTTTATTTGAGTTTCTTTAATTATGGTTCAAATAGTGTATCTTAATTTAAGTCGAGTCTTTTTTTCAGTTTTTATCATTCCAGTGGTTAGGTATAAAAATTAACATGAAAACTATGCACAACGGATGTCAGTTGAAAGAATTCAAAATACAAATTGTTTAAACACTTCAACCAATCTATGTAATATACACACGACGAATTCCATAGGATTTATTGTTTCAAACTTTATACTTCTTAAATATTAAGCAAATTAATGTCATTATTAAAATGTCATCATCACACTGTCAAGTTTCCCGCCAAAAGTAGTAGTCCCATTTTTCTAACTAGAAAGGTATAAGTTTCATACCATACAGCCAATTTACATATTATTTACACTTTACTCAGTTTTATGAAAAAAATATAAAACAAAATGAAATGAAGTTGATTAATCTGAGACATTAATAAATTGTGATGAAATTAAGTGAAACGAGACGAGGTAGGATGCACTTTAGCCTCAGAAAAATATTAGTTATTTATTGAGAGTCCAGTGAACTGGAGGACCTGAACGAACATTAGATGTACCACATTTGCTTTGTGAAAAATAAAACACTATGAACTATTAAATTTGGTGTGGTTTTTCTTAAGGTGAAAGAAATACATTTTTATAAAAATCAATATTTTTTTTCCATACTTAATATTTATAAATTCGACTGACTGGTTCAGTAGTTAGCACCCCTGACTGTTGCGCTGAAGATCGTGTTCGCGTGATGAACATGTTTGGTTGGTCATTATCAGGTTGTTTAATAGTCATATCATTCATTCATTTTTATTACACGATGTTATTCCTTCACCGTGGAAGTCGATCGTGAACATTTGTTGAGTACGTATTTCATTAGAAAAATTGGTACCCGCCTGCGGGACTCAAACACCGGTGCATCGCTTCAACACGAATGCACCGGACGTCTTATCCGTTAGGCCACGACGACTATCTGACAATCTTGAAAAATTGATGGTAGGTAATTGGCAAGATTACAGACAAAATATCTTGTGGCCGCAACTCAATGTGCTGGTCCGTCCTAATCCGCACCATTCTGGATAGCACAGTTTACCATGCTATACACACCGCCGAGAACAGAGGCAGATGGCGAAACATCGTCCAGAGAAAAATAATGGCAGGAGATGGTCGCGACCCTTAGACATGACCAATGCGACTCAAGGAGGAGGAAAAAGTAAGCGCAAGGAATCCTAACTTAGGGCCGGCTGACCGTGCATGTTTGTTCCCAGTTAGTTTATGATCAGTGTTCTGAGTGCGAGTTTTTTAACTTCTTACCCTTCGTTTGCCGCTAGGGCCGCTGTTCGAACTTCATACAATTATTTTTTTCGCTTTATTGTTTAACGAGCTCGTGGCCCACCTGGTGTTAAGTGGTTACCGGAGCCCATAGACATCTACAATGTAAATGCCGCCACCCACCTTGAGACAAAAGTTCTAAATCTCAGTTTTTACAGTACAACGGCTGCCCCACTCTTCAAACCGAAACACATTACTGCTTCACGGCAGAAATAGGCAGGGTTGTGGTACCTGCCCGTGCGCACTAACAAGACTTCCTACCACCAGTAATTACGCAAATTATAATTTTGCCTGTTTGAATTTTATTACACGACGTTATTCCGTCACCGTGGAAGTCAGCGTGGAACATTAGTAATGTACGTATTTCATTGGAAAAATCGTACCTACCGGCGGGATTCAAACACCAATGCATCATTATGAATGCACCGGGCGCCTTATCCTTTAGGTCACGACTTCAAAGTTTGAGTTACCTAACTTTTACGCGATCGTTATGTTAAAAAACCTATGTAAAAATAAGCACATTGTAATTTCACTAAGAAAAAAATGTACGATTCACAGACTACCCATTCGCTAAATTATCAAAGAATTTTAGCAACGTATTTCAAGGCTCAATAAATTGGCCCCCCTTTTTTGATTTTCGGACTTTTTTTGATTTCCAATTATTTGTTAGTCGTTTGTTCGTTAATGTTCGAAGGTAAAAATTGTTTGTCCGTCTTTAAAAATAACTACATATATTTTACCTATGGTAGCTCCTTTAATATTATCAATGTGGCTTAGTTAGCTAATTTCTTTTTATTTATGATTTTAATTATCACACCATTAAAATACCCTTAAAATTTTATAATGAGTATGTAAAAATGTTTTTTCCTATAGATATTTCATTCGTGTCCTTGATAGCACGACTAGCTGGGCTGAAAATAGCCCATGTCCTTTAAGATTTTTAAATTCTCAGTAAATGGCCACCATTTCACTGAGATTATACTTCATCCCATATCATCTCATCTCATATTATTAAATTTCATCCCAGTCGATTAATGTCTCAAATTAGTCATCTTCATTTCACTTCATATTATCATTTTTCATAAAAATATGAATATGTGGCGTTTATGAACGCACATTTTTATGATGCGTAAGCCGGAACGCACGAGATGTGGGAAAAATAATATAGTCTGTGACACGGGACCTTTTTACCGCCAAATATTTAAAACGTAAAAATAATTTATAATGTGTTAAATAACTAATATAATGTAATTACTTAGAATTATTTATGCCGCTACAACAATAAAATTTATATTGTTCCAACTGTGGTGTTAATTACATAAAACACGACCAGGCGAAATAAAGAAGGGACTCCATATAAACTCCCTCAAATATAAATTAAAATTAGACATGACCTAAAGGTCTTAGTTACCAGGTCATAAAATCCTTCTAAAAAAAATTTGTCTACTCTAAGCTGTCGTCAAAGTTGTGTTTATATTTTAATAACCTAACATTCTAAATAATACCTACATAAAATACATAATATTATTATTACATTCATAATATTAGTGTACTAGTTAAGTCTAACATTCTGATATACGGGTACATGATTTTTTTGAAAATTAAATTTATTTAAAAAAGTATTTTGTGGTACTATGAAGGTGTCTGTAGAACAAGTGTATACATCTGTCGCCTGTAACCGCAAACCTGAAGTGGTAGACTGGAATTACGAAGGGATAATTTGTTACGGTGCCTGTAATGCTGTTGTTGTTTGTGATCCGGTGAGATTTTAACAATTTTCTAGTTCAAGATCAATTTTCTTTATTAAAACCATAATATAGTTTATTGAGAAAAAATATAACCTCAATTCTGGTGAAAAAATATTTTCCCCCCTCGTATTCGCTGGTGGCTTCGAGGGGCTATTCCAGCTTCTCCGGGTTGGTAAACAAGCTCGCAGAGCTCAGCTTGAGAGAATTTGTTAACACTAACAATTGCAGAGCAGTGCATTGAATCTACCACCATATCGGAATTATCTGGTATCATATACTGAAAATATCTGGTGAGAAACTCAATGACCTATGTCTATGATTTTGTTTGCATGCTGTGTTACTTTTGCTATTTCCCATCGTGGTGTGAAAAGAAAAATGTACTGTTCTTAAGAACTACTATATAGAAATAAATATTCTTCTATTTTAATTTGATTTTTTTTTTGTTTGTTGTAAGAGGCTCTTCGGTTGAGGGTGTTTGAGTTAATGAAACGAAGCTGAAATTTTTTTTCTCCCTAATATCACTGAAAAAAGCTACACAAGCAGCTAGCTACCAGCGTTACTAAGATTTAGTGCCAAATGAAAATTTTGCAAAAGCTATTTAGTTTTCTCTTATATTTATTTATATATGTCTATAGATCATTTTATCACATAAAACATTTGACAGCACAAACTACTGATCTGACTGTATATCTTTCATTGCACACAAATGAATTGGCAAGGTGCCTGCTAGACACAACTGGAGATGTGAAACGTTTAAAAATATGGCAAATTTTAGACTTAGACCAAAGATACTAAATCTACTGCTGTAATTGATGACATTTAATGTAATGTCATCCACAACTCGAACTTCTTGGAACACATCTGATTATGGCTATAGAGCCGATTGCAGATAAATATAGAGAAAAAAAAAACAAAATCTTTCATTGCAGAATGAAAAAACTAAAGATAGAGTAACAGTACTGAGTCACCATACAGGACACGTAAACTCTGTAAAATGGATACACAATCACAATGGCCAAACAACAGAGTTGCTCTCTTGCTCAGTTGATAAGACTGCTGTCATCTGGACATTACAAAACGGTCGCTGGAATGTCACCAGTATTCTCAAGGGACATACAGAAGGAGTTACCAATATATATGGAAATTACCATGGAGACCGACTTACTGTTTACACTGCATCCACTGATTCTACCATTAAAGTTTGGGAAAGAATAGAAGGTATGTTGCAAATTTTTTTTATTATAATTGACCTTTTTTTATTTGGCATGAGTACCTTATCATATTCATAGACCGTTTGTTGAGATTTTTATCCCAAATTTTTAAAGCCATTGTTTATTTAGTTTACACTAATGAAAATATGCAGGTACTCTGTGATTTACGGACAATGAAAATTATAACCACAACTAAACTTACTTAAACAAGTGGTATGGAACAAGGAACAAGTACTTTCAGAGTGGATCCCCATTTATATCTCAGGGACTCAATCAATCTATAGGGGTAGATAAACTGATTAATAATTGAACAAGCAAATTGTCTGTAGACATTCATTCTTGCACAAATCTTCATATATAAAATTTATAATATTATATTATACTGTAGATACTATAATATATATTTTAACCATGCATTTATAGTTTCACAGTACGTTCTGATTACTGTTTCTTTTATCCATTATATGATTTCTGACTGCGTAAATGTCAGTTCTCATGTCAGTAACAACCTTTTTTTTTTATCATTATTCCTACCTTTCACAGGTACGGTAACGCTCAAGCAAAGTATATCTCTACATTCTGGTTTATGTCTCACCCTTCACGCGCAAATACTACCATGCGCAAATAAACCGCTATTGCTTTGTGCACTGGATGACCACAAAATACATATATTCGTCGGTGAGGACTATCACAGAGCGCATACTCTGGTTGGACACGAAGACTGGGTTAGGGGACTTGACGTGTTGGAAGTTGGTAAGTGATAAACAAATAAATTTAAATCTGTTTAAAAAATATTAGAGTGTAATAAAATATTCTTTATTGGTACTCATCTTATTATACACTTAATGTATGCAATATGTCAAAACGGTTATATTTTACTCAGACTGCATATAGACATTTAACATTCATACTAATTGCGCTTTACATTACTGCAATAAATCACAGAGAATGATTCACACAACACATTCACTCAAGAACTTAAGAAAATTGTTATTCAATCAAACTCTCCCAAAAAATTATGAGAACTATATTTTAATTAATTAACAATTATATATTTCACAATAAATTGTTTTAATAAACATGATGTATTTAGTTAGTGGTAGCCAATTCCAAAAGCCAAAATCAATAAGCAATGATAACTGCTCACCGTGTGAGACATTTTGTCTGCTTTTAATCACAAATTAAGCAAAATAACATTTTTTTCACAGATAACGACACAATTATCGTAGCGTCGGCTTCTCAAGATACATACATCCGTCTGTGGAGGATACAAAAGGTCAAAGCCCAACCGGAGTCCAAACTGATTAAGGTTGAGGAAAAAGTGTTCCATGCATATGACAATCTTTGGTCTGTGAAACTTGAGGCAGTGCTTGCCGGTCATGAAGCCTGGGTCTATGGGGTACAATGGCATCCTTATAGTTTTGATGGTGAGATTCCTGTAAGAGTGATTAGATTCTAAAAGAACTGTTCATAAGCAAATTACTAAGCTAGTATTTTTAGTATGTATATTCTTCTGGTCATCCAAAAATATAAAGGTCTCTCGATACTCTACTGAAAGTGATAATTATGAATGGAACTTTTCAATATATGTACATAGCGGAAGGATAGGATTAAATTTAAAAAAGAATAATAATAGTCATTGTGTGAGAGAAATAATACATTACATTCTTAACTTCAAAACAAAATTTTTGGGCGTTTTTTTATTGCTCACATGGGTGAACGAGCTCACAGCCCACCTGGTGTTAAGTGGCTACTGGAGCCCATAGACATCTACAACGTAAATGCGCTACACACCTTGAGATATAAGGTCTAAGGTCTCAAGTAAAGTTACAACGGCTGCCCCACCCTTCAAACCGAAACGTATTACTGCTTCACGGCAAAAATAGGTGGGGCGGTGGTACCTACCCGTGAGGACTCACGAGAGGTCCTACCACTAGTAAAAAAGTCACTCATTTAGTCACTCATTAACTGCTTTTCTGTAAGTTAAATCTGGTCCAGACAAAAACTCTCAAAGTGATTTGTGTTGTTGAAAATTCGCTAACTTGTAATAAAAGAGTTCTGAACGCTCTTCATTGAGAGAAACATTCCCAAAATTCAGTAATCAAGTACTTCTTACATCGGGTCGAGTCCGGTGAGTTGTCGCAGTTGGTCCCTTCAATGCACGGTTTGTTTGTTGCGGAAATAAAATGATGGCATTAAATTTTCTCCTGCCAGGTCCTACTAAAAAGCCGGTATACCGTCTCCTGTCATCATCACTGGACAAAACCCTGATTATTTGGGAGCCAGACTCCAGTAGTACAGACGAAGGTGTCTGGGTAGAGAAGGTCAGGGTGGGCGAAGTGGGAGGCGGAGGCTTGGGTTTCTACGGGAGCCGTTTTGGACCAGAAGGTATGTCCTTCTTGGGACATGGTTACAATGGCTCTTTTCACATTTGGACTTTTGATAAGGTAGGTATCACAATCTGTGATAAAGAGTCGCATAAATATTTTTTAAAGATTGAAAAGAAGTTATCAAATTATATAATGTTACTAACTTAGTTTGAAAGCGATATAAGGCTCCCTTTTTTCCCCCCTACTTAAGCTGATAGCCTTGAGAGGCTATATCAGCGTCGCCTTAACTAGTAGGTGAGCTCACGGGGCTCAAACTTGATGACGTTGCTAACACGAACCCTAGCAAGAGCCGTGCTACGCAGAATCTACCACCGGATCGGAACTGCGACCCACTGAGAAGATCCGGCGAGAAACTCAGTGGGCTGTGTCAATGGGTTAATTTACTCGCCGAGCCCTTCGTCGTAGCGACGCTTCAAGCGACGGGTTCGACGAGAACGGTGACCGGTGCTTGAGGTACCTAGAAGCACCGTTAGTGGATCGGGAGGATCCGAAATGACGTGTTTGGGGCGACGTCGACTGCTTTTCATTCTGTCCGCAGGATCGGGAATGTAGTTACCGGCGGCCACGACGAGAGGGTTCTCGTGTAGTGCCGTTTTATCGAAGTGGTAATGCTCCCAGATCCGCAGCTTTCTACCAGATGTTCATCTAAGGACAGATGACAGCTTAAACCAAAGTACTTTGTAATAATTGGTTACTCAATTGACACGGCTGTAATGGATATTCCGGTGTGACCCAGGAAAGTGAGCAGTGGTCCCCGAGCGTGGTGTGCGGCGGACACTTCATGTCGGTGGAGGACGTCGCCTGGNATCGAAGTGTTAATGCTCCCAGATCCGCAGCTTTCTACCAGATGTTCATCTAAGGACAGATGACAGCTTAAACCAAAGTACTTTGTAATAATTGGTTACTCAATTGACACGGCTGTAATGGATATTCCGGTGTGACCCAGGAAAGTGAGCAGTGGTCCCCGAGCGTGGTGTGCGGCGGACACTTCATGTCGGTGGAGGACGTCGCCTGGGAGCCGCGCCAGGGCCGCTACCTGCTCAGCGTCTCCGCAGACCAGACTACGAGACTCCACGCCCCGGTCCGGAGGAGCGATGGTGAGCTCGGACTTTTGCTGATCAAAATCTTATCAATACAATTGAACATTGATAATACGAGTAGTAACCAGGAAAAAATCACATACGGTCATCTCACCCCGAGCTAGGATTGTACTGTGGGCACCAGAGACTGAAATACATACTGGTGGTAGGACCTCTTGTGAGTCCGCGTGGTTAGGTACTACCACCCTGCCTATTTCTGCCGTGAAGCAGTAATGCGTTTCGGTTTGAAGGGTGGGGCAGCCGTTGTAACTATATTGAGACCCTTAGAACTTATATCTCAAGGTGGGTGGCGCATTTACGTTTTGGATGTCTATGGGCTCCAGTAACCACTTAACACCAGGTGGGCTGTGAGCTCGTCCACACATCTAAGCCATAAAAAGTTTTTGTCTCACATAAAAAACCTAACCAAATTTTGCATTAGAAGTGAAGGTTCCTCCATTGCGGGAAAAGTACAGAGAAAATACACTCTATCTCCACATCATCCTCATCTCAATTTTTCACTTCTTGTCCATATCCTCCATGCGGAGTCAAGGCCACATGTTCTCTTGTGCCATTATGGCCTATTATCTAATTCTTGCATTCCTCCTCTCAATCGATCATAAAACATAACCTGAATTGAACTGTTTATTATGAAAGACTATTTGGATAAAGCGACATTTTTGCTACATTACAGGAGAGCCATTTAAAGTTGACTATTTGGAAAAAATAATCATAACAAAAAACTTTTTCAGCTATTTGAATGGAATAAACTTAATTGAAGTTCAATTGAAAACGTGTCGAACTGTTGATTCTAATCTTCTTTATATATAAAAATGAATTTCTGTTCGTAAGTCTCGCCGGCTATTCGGATTTGGCTAATTTTGGTCTTGAATTAAAAGTTAGAAAAATTTGAAAAGGCTCCGAATTAAATTTAAAAAAAATTGCTTTTCTTTTGCTGTGTCCCCCGTCGCACGGATTCTTTTTCTTTGATTTAAGTTTATTTTATATAAAAGTTTAGGTCTTTTATTTATCGGTTGAGGCACTACAAAGTCTGCCGGGTCAGCTAGTCGTGTAATAAAAAACACGTTTAATTATAAAGATAAATATTGCGTATTAAGCGAAATGTCGCTTATACCAAATAACCTTTAACACCTCGACATAACACCCAGGGTCCGTGGCTTGGCACGAGCTGGCCCGGCCGCAGATCCACGGCTACGACATGTCGGCCGTAGCCCCCCTCACCGCCACCACCTTCGCGTCCGCCGCCGAGGAGAAGGTTATCAGGGTCTTCACAGCACCGCACAACTTCATCAGCAATTTCAAGAACCTCGTGGGAGAAGTCCTCGTCGCAGATAACGAGAAAGGTTCGTCCTTAAATAAGCAGTGTCCAGTTTCACTTTGACTTCATAAATATTTACTCTTCATCTGTGCTACTCTCAAAAATCGTTAAAACTTAGTTGTAAGTGATCACAAAATATACACAATTCTAAGCTATTGCATAGCTTTTATCGCGGCGACCGAATCAAGAAATTCCGTAACGATAATAAAACCTAACACCCCCACTCCGCCTACCATGTAGCTCGCGTTCAACACATTCACACGTTGCGCTTTTGTAGTGTTTGTGAATAAGCGCGTGACGTGACGTTGCACTGCATGCGCATCATGAAAAGTCTGCCCATCTCTCTCGTGCAGACTAGCTTATGAGTGTGAAGGGGACGGGAAGTAGGACAGTTGGTGTTTTGATTTTGTTAATGTTTATAAATATAGCGTGGTCTTATTTTATTGTTTTAATATTAAATTATTATTGTCTTATTATAATTGCATAAGTTGATAAAAAATGCTATGCAATAGCTTTACCGCGGCAGTCCCCGAGTGCCACACCTGTTAATTTTTTTAACATTTCATGTTCCCGTACCGAGACCTTTAAGCCAGGTCTTATTTTATCTTCTTATGTTCTGTTAAAATTTGAAAACTGATAGTTGAAAGTTTATTAATTTGCGACTTTAATTAATTGTCCTAAAATTAAATGAAATTTCTATTGATTTTGGTATTTTTTTTAAGTTAAAGTTTTTATAAAATAAGTTTCCTTTAGCAATTTCAGCAAAATATGTGTTAATAAGCTCAGCACTAAAATGATTAAAGTATATAAATATAATGAATACAAACCGAACTAAGATTACGTAACACTACATACAAAGTCAAGTTAATAGGAAACACTACACGTCATTACGGATCCTCCCGATTCATTAACGGTGCTTTTAGATACCACAAGCACCTGTCACCGTCCTCGTCGAACCCGTCGCTTGCGACGAAGGACTCGACGAGCGAATTAACCCATAGACACAGCCCACTGAGTTTCTCGCCGGATGTTCTCAGTGGGTCGCGTCTCCGATCCGGTGGTAGATTCTGCGAAGTACGGTCTTGCTAGGGTTAGTGTTAGCATCACTTCGGTTTGAGCCCCGTGAGCTCACCTACTAGTCAAGGTTACGCTGAAATAGCCTCTCAAGGCTATCAGGTTAGGTAGGAAAAAAAGAAGGAAACGCTTAATTGTGTAAGGTTGGAAATACATTTATGGAGATTTAAAAAAAAAGTGTACTGTTTTGTCTATCACGCCAGGCTGTGAGTTTTATGACGTCACCTGACCTGACCTGACAACGAATTAGCGGGAAAATTTAAAACCGATTAGTCCATAATATATTTTTGGAACGAATCAAATTAGATATGTTTATAAGTGTACATATCAGATGAGCAGCAACGTGATCATAGTTGTGTTCGTCGACAACAGGTCCGGAGGGCGCTTCGGTCCCCTCGCTGGGCTTGTCCAACAAGGCCGTGTTCATAGAGGAGCAGGACGGCTCAGGCGCCGGTGACGACGGCGACGGCGACGGCTACTTCGCGCCCGTCGATATGAAAGGTTTCAAATTTGAATGAACAGTTTCAAGGTCACCATATAATAAACACCATGGTGATCATGTGTGATCATAATCAATGGTCATTCCTATTTAAACATATATATCCTGTGCCGGTGTTCGAACCTGAGTTACTAAAATGTTTGTAACGAAAATAAGTACTTAACTATGGAGGGTAGAGGTAAGGAGAACCGTCTCATATGGGAGAAGCTTGAGAAAGGGTCCCACTTTCAGCACTAAATAACAGTTAAAAAATCCTCCAGAATGGTGATAGCATAGGCAGAGGGTGTGATATGAATGAAGCAGTTATTAACTGATTGAAGTATGCTGAGTTAGGAAATATAATATATGTGGGATTTTATATTCGGGGTGGGCCAGAGAAACACTCGATCACTACACAAAATCACGATTCTTTATTTCGTCTTATTATATCGTCATAAGTTACATACGTCTTTCGTCTTCCGTGTTACAATGCGTCTGAGCGTCGTCGCGTCCGGAAACTAACTCCCGTGCTGCTTATGCATATAATCTAGATGTTCCGCATTCATTCCGCCTCCTTTCTTACTTCCTAACACGACATCTCCTATCTCTCTCACTCAGTCATGCTCCATATCTGTCATCCCTCCATATCACTCCGTTCCGTTCCTACATATATTTAATGACTAGAGTAGTTAGTGACAGTGTAATATACAAGACCTCTCATGTTTACGTAGTCCAAACTAATTTCGTCAATATAACCAAAAATTATAGACATCGATTGCATTTTCTTATTAGCTTTAAATAAAATAATATTGTGATTTTGTAGTGCTTACAGTTCTTTCGTCCTTTTTTATTTCTCTATTTTATTCTAACAACTTTTTGCGCTTTTTTTTAAATTTACCCCGTTGCTACTGTAGCGCCACCCTTATTTAGCAGATTTTAATGGACACTTTTCACACAGAGACGGTTCTCCTTACCTCTACTCTCCATATACTTAACTCATGTTCAAGAATGACCAGTGACGATTAAGAAACGATATTGCGAAATAAAAATCAAACCCGTAAGAATTTCAATTCTCGTAATTACTATTGATACGGCACCTTGTGAGTTCGCAAGTTGATGCTCCGGATTGAAGGGTGGGGCAGCCGCTATATTGCAGAACTGAGACTTAGAACTTATGTTTGAAGTTGGCAGCCGTTGCGTTGTCGATATCTATGGTGACCGCGTAAACCACTTGAACTATTAGCGGTAGGCAGCGGCTTGGCTCTGCGCCTGGCATTGCTGAAGTCCATGGGCGACGGTAACCACTCACGATCAGGTGGGCCGTATACTCGTCTGCCTGCAAGGGCAATAAAAAAAAGAAATTAAGCTCGTTTTCCCTGCGCGCTCTGATGGTTCTACGCAAGTAACCACTTCGAAACTGTCCTGTGCAGCTTTTTTGTAAATTTAAACTGGTCTTAGTATTTTAAATGAAGCAATGTTCACCGACACAAAACTGTACGATGCGACAGAGAAGAGCTTTCGTCGAGCTTTATTGCTCAGTGAACCGATGGTCTGATTGTCACGCAAACATCTATAGCCGCACGTATACCGATTTCTGGCGTGGCGATGCATGCCGTGGCGACGCGTCACCACGCTATATGATGGTATATATATACAGTCTATATGCAGTAGTGTGTACGGTGTGGCGACGCGTCGCCATGCTCAATCGACTGTGCGATTCTCTCCCACTCGATCCGGCGTTAAGTCATCTCTCTCGCTACACTGACTATACCTATAGTGTATACTCCGTAGTGTATACAGTGTTGTTTCCTACAGTACACATAACCTGTGTTTTACTTGAAAACAAATTATTTTTTCGTAATATTTTATTTTATCATTATGACAGATTTAGTTCCTATCACAATCTGCTATTTTCTGCATATTACTTTTACAAAATAATGTCGATGTTTCACCTTCGATGACCTCGTCGTCTCACGCCGTATCACTTACGGCCTGGCCACGGGGATCGGCGGTGCGAACAGCGAAGCGGTGGGCGAGGCGACCATTCGCGCAGCACCGTTTGCAGGCCACGGGTACTCACGTTCGCCGCCGCGACTAGTAAGGAAGTCCGACAGCGAAATGTCTATATCGAAATTATCTCGATATTGCTTACAAATTAATAGTTTTTTGGNACTCCGTAGTGTATACAGTGTTGTTTACTACAGTACACATAACCTGTGTTTTACTTGAAAACAAATTATTTTTTCGTAATATTTTATTTTATCATTATGACATATTTAGTTCCTATCACAATCTGTTCTTTTCTGCATATTACTTTTACAAAATAATGTCGATGTTTCACATCTACCAGGCGTCCCGTGACGGCTCACATTTTTTTTATGATAGCCGTAACGTTTGTGAAATTGTCTTTTGAAAATCTTAAGAAAATAGTAATGTTGTGTGTCTGTGTTCGATCCGAACCCAGCGCCCTCGTGGCAGCCTACGGCTCCGGAAACCAGCACGAGGTGCCCGTCGAACACGTGCCACGATCTATTTTAACTACTATACTACTATTTTAATAAAATATCATCTAATCACTCACCGGAACCGATGACCTCGTCGACTCACGCCGTATCACTTAGGGAGAAGGGTTTAGGGCAGGAATGGATAAGGATTAGTGATAATGCAAACCGTCAGCTTAGACCGTCACACATGAGGGTACCGTCCCGTTCGAGAAGCAAGCCAAAGTGACAGATGTCAAGTCGCGAAGGCACCATCAATTTTTTTTTAAGTGATTTAATGACCTGGTAACTAAGTCCTTTAGGTCAAGTCTTATTTTAATTTTAATGATACGTAACTTTTTTATATGAAAATGATATTATGAAATGAAATGACGTTGATTATTATGAAACAAGGCATGAAATGAAATAAAAACGAAATGTAATGAAATGAGATGAGATTATATGGGATGAATTATAATCTCAGTAAAATGGTGGTCATTGACTGAGATTTTTTCAGTGGACTTTTTGGAAGATCCCGAGAAGTTACGTTCAGTGGCTTTGTTTCATTTTCCCACATTTGTGCACTTTCACAGATACTAAACAGTTGATAAACCACCGTTATTACACATTTAAACCTGAAGAAACAAATCACACAACTTCACTCCTCGCGTTCCCGCTAAAAAGTCCAGGCATAGTCAATCGCGACCCGTGTTAACGTGGTAAAAATTCAAATACCCACGGATTGGTTTCGAACATTGTGTGTGTGTGTGTCAGAGCCGCCCACTGAGGAAACGTTGGTCCAGAACACGCTGTGGCCGGAACTGCAGAAGCTGTACGGGCACGGCGGGGAGGTGTTCGCGCTGCACGCCGCGCCCGACGGGACCCTGCTCGCCTCCGCCGCCCGGGCCACCGACGCCGTGCACGCCGCGCTCGTGCTGTGGTCAGTGGGCCGCACCCTGCCGCAATCGCTATAGCGATGTGACGGGGAATAGTCGATTATACCTTGAAGTCGTCCAGGCTTAAAGCAGCGGTCGGGGAACTTTTTTAATTTTTACCCCAAAATATTTTTTTGTAAGTTGATATTACCCCATGGCAAAGAACAAAAAAAAACGAAATCGCTTCTTTTTAGCATCTTTCATATTATAGCCCCCGTGATAATTTTGAAAAGAAAACAATAACTAAAAATTTAACGACTCTAAAGAAGTTTCACTTCAATATATACTTTTTACTCACAAAAGTTTCAATTTTTTAACCCCCAAAATTTCATTTTACCCCATTTGGGGTAATGTACCTCGGTTCCCCGACCGCTGGCTTAAAGGTTAAGACGTCCAGTGCATTCGTATGTAGCGATGCACCAGTGTTCGTATCCCGTCGGGGGTACCAATTTTTCTAATGAAATACGTACTTAAAAAACGTTCACGATTGACTTCCACGGTGAAGGAATAACATCGTGTAATAAAAATCAAACTCGAAAAATTATAATTTGCGTAATTACTGATGGTAGAACCCGCGCGGATGGGTACCACCACCCGCCTATTTCCGCCGTGAAGCAGTAATGCGTTTCGGTTTGAAGGGTGGGGCAGCCGTTGTAACTATACTGAGACCTTAGAACTTATAACTCGAGGTGGGTGGCGCATTTAGGTTGTAGATGTCTATGGGCTCCAGTAACCACTTAACACCAGGTGGGCTATGAGCTCGTCCATCCATCTAAGCAACAACTAAAAAAAAAACTTCCTATCTAAATCTCAAGTTGTGTACGCCACATTCAGCAGCGCGCATACATAATTTATTACAGGGAAACCTCGAAATGGCAGCAAATACAGAAGATAGAGTCGCACACGCTGACAATAACGCAGCTCGCGTTCTCGCCGGACAGTCAGAAGCTATTGTCCGTGTCCCGGGACCGGCGGTGGACGCTGTACCGTCGGCTGCCGGGGTCTAGCAGGTTCGAGGTGGCCGCCACCAGCGACAAGAGCAACGGCGTTCACTCCAGGATCGTGTGGTGCTGTGCGTGGGCTCCCGACGCGCGATTGTTCGCCACCGGCTCCAGAGATGGCAAGGTCAGCGCCATTCCATTTTTGAATTAAAATCGAAATGCAAAAATTGCGAAATGGGTCTCAAATCCAAAGGTGCGATATGCTTTTTAAAGGTATTTTATGACCTGGTAACTGAGACCTTTAAGTCATGTCTTATTTTAATTCATATTCTTATTTTATGAATAATGTATGCAGTGAAATGAAGATGATTAATTTGAGACATTAATCAACTGGGATGAAATTAAATGAAATGAGATGAGATGATATGGGATGACATATAATCTCAGTAAAATGGTGGTCATTTACTTAGATTTTGTCAGTGGACTTTTTGAAGAATCCCGAAAAGTTACGTTCAGTGGCTTTGTTTCATTTTCCCACATTTGTGCATTTTGACAGATATTAAACACTTAATAACCCACCGTTATTACACATTTAAACCTGAAGAAACACTAAATAGACAAAATAAAACGAATCACACAACTTCACTCCTCGCGTTCCCGCCAAAAGTCGTGCGATATGCGGATTATAGTGCGCATAGATTATACACTTAATATATTATAGTGCGCGCGGAACTAGTCGGTCGCGCCTTAGGGAGCGGGTTAACTACTGCTGGTGATGCACATGAGATTAGACAGCCATGACCAATCTCGAGATATCGTGAATCTTATTTTTTAACCGCCGTCGCCATCTTCTTTTTCTCTGTCATTCTCTTTTCCCGTTAAAGAAAGGGAAACGGAAAGCCGTTATAAAAATTACATCAAAAATCCATATCTGTCAAAATGTCAGTCTATATATTTGAGTGCGTGTGTGTTTTTGGTCATAGACTTAAAAAGTTATAGTGGTGGCAATGTCGCCATATACCTATAATCTCTGACTACTGCAGTGTACTGAGTCTCGACCTGGTCTATGTCCCCAGGTCTGTTTGTGGGCGAAATCAGATACGTGCACCGACACGTCGCTAAAGGAGTACGCGCTGCACGGGAGCCCCCTGGAGGCCGGCGCCTCCGTGACGGCGCTGGCGTGCACGGGGCGCGGGGAGCGCTGCGTGCTGGCCGTGGGGCTGGAGACGGGCGCCGTCGACATATACAGGGCAGACGACTGGCGCCTCCTGCACCGCATGGACCACAGGTGCCTCTCGCTCCTATCCATACTAATATTCTAAATCTTAGATAAGTAGACGAGCTCACAGCCCACCTGGTGTTCAGTGGTTAATGAAGCCCATAGACATCTACAACGTAAGTGCGCCACCCACCTTGAGATATAAATTCTAAGGTCTTAGTATAGTTACAACGGTTACCCCACCCTTTAAACCGAACGCATTCACGGCAGAAATAGTCGGGGTGGTGGTACCTACCCGCGCGGACTCACAAGTCGTCCTACCACCAAGTATGTAAGTTTTTTGTTCAATAATGTAAATCACGGAATCGCTTAATGCACTTGGATTAAATTTGATACAAAAACAGTCGTTTATTTTTTACCTTTTATTAATAAAGCTATTTCGATTTTCTATTTTTTATAGTCTTAATAGAAACCGGATAAAATATACGTAATATAAAATTATTGCAAAGATGTTACATGCATTTGAAAATGAAATGAATTGAAATGAAAATGGGTTATTGTTTTCTTTCAGCTCGGCGCATCACCTGACCGTGAAGAGGTTAACATTTAATCCAAAATATGAGGGTAGCGATGAAACGTTGTTGGCGAGTGCGGGCGCCGATCACGTCGTGAGGATACATCGCCTCAAAATAACTTATTAATAAATATTTTTACGAGAAATAACTTGTTTTTTATTTAATTTTAATCTTTAACACGTTGACTGCAATGTAGGTCACCGGTGCCCTACGTGGTCCACTGAAGTAATTATGTCGATTTCTCTGTTCAATCTTCTTACCAAGGCGCCAGAATAACTAGTAGACCTTGGCAAAGATGAATCCGAAGACCTGAGACTGAATCTATTTCTAGAAAAGACTAAAACATACATTTAAAACAAAAGAAGACAAAGTCAGTCAATCCAGACGCGCTTAGTAATAGGAATCGACATAATAACTTGAGTGCGCCGCGTAGGGCAACGGTGACCTACACGGCAGTCAATGTGTTAAAAAAGTTTCAGCTCGAAGCGCAATAGTCATACTTCGACCTGAAGCCGTGGAGTTCGTTGACCCCAGGCGAGTCGATAGCTAGCCGTCTGTGCGATAAAAAGTAAAATTAAAAAAAAACAATACTGTTACATTACTGATTATTCTCGTCCTAACTATCTAAGAGTGAATGCTTCAAACGGAGTTCAATGACCGAGTCTTTTTTTTTTACCCATTTTGGTAACCTCGAAGGGGTTACTTTAGATTCACCGAGCTAGTAGGTGAGCTCACGGGGCTCAAACCGGGGGTGTTGCTAACACTAACCTTAGCAAGAGCAGTGCATCGCAGAATCTACTACCGGATCGTAAACGCGACCCACTGAGAAGATCCGGCGAGAAACTCAGTGGGCTGTGTCTATGGGTTAATTTAGTCGTCGAGCCCTTCGTCGCAAGAGACGGGTTCGATGAGGACGGTGATTGGTGCTTGTGGCACCTAAAAGCACCGTTAATGGATCGAGAGGATCCGTAATGACGTGTTTAGGGTGACGTTGACTGTTTACCATTCGGTCTACAGAATCGGGTATGTAGTTCCCAGCGGCCACGACAAGAGGGTTCTCATGTCGTGCCGCCTTTTCAAAATGGCGCAATGAAGTCGACTGTAGATACTTACTGATTGAGTAAAACTCCAGGTCATCATGGAGATCCACGTTCCTTAGGAACCATGGTGCTCCCAACGGCTATCCTGCAAAAACGGGATAACATAACTTGATGAATAACTTGAAGGGGTTTTAAGTTGGTGCGAGCCGCGTGAGCGAACACTACACTTGCATAGGTCATGACGGGGCGTAAGGACGGTGCTTGTGGTACCTAAAAGCACCGTAAATGGATGGGCAGGATCCGTAATGACGTGTTTAGGGCGACCGACCAAGTCGTTTGGAAGTTGGAAGGCAAATCAAAGGTTGTTTCGGAACAACCTCGAGGGAGCGAAACTGTAATTCACGCCTGAATAACGACCCTTACTGCTCGAAGCGCACGGTCAGCCCCGCATGGAGTACCGCCCCCTCCACGCCGGGGCTCACAAATAACAACCACTTCCATCGGGCTCCACACAGAAGACAGCTCTTTAGATTATCGATAATCCCATTGCCGTAAAACTTATGCTCCGCAGAGCTCATCCTCTTACGCCTCAGAAACACTGTTCATCCGGTTCGTTTTCCGAATTATTTTCCACATACCATTTAACTTTACTTTTTGTGTTATGCGCCATGATATGCCATTCTTTAAATGAAGTTGGAAAAAATCCTAATAATTAGAAAAAAAGGCAGCGGCAGAGTCGTCTCCATGACGGGTGCAATAAAAAAAGAGGGAGAGAAATTATCAAAACCAAACCATTCCTTTTATCAATAAATCTATTGTATTTACCAATTTCGTTTACAAGAAAAAATATTATTCTACTAAATATAATTCTTGATTTAAGAATAGACGCTAAAGCGTTTTCAAAGCGACAGTGAAATTAATAAAAAGCATGTTCTACAAATCTATGTATATTTATATAATAGCAAATCGTATATTTAAAATATATTTACATTAAGACTAAGTAAATATTATGCACCCAGTACAATTGTAAAAAAATATTTTTCATATAAGTTTATCACATTAAAACCTTACTATTAAAATGTAAATACATTTTTTTTCTGAAAACTATGTAATATATATATTTTTTATTGCTTAGATGGGTGGACGAGCTTACAGCCCACCTGGTGTTAAGTGGTTACTGGAGCCCATAGACATCCACAACGTAAATGCGCCACCCAACTTGAGATATAAGTTCTAAGCTCTCAGTATAGTTACAACGGCTGCCCCACCCCTCAAACAGAAACGCATTACTGCTTCACGGTAGAAATAGGCAGGGCGATGGTACCCACCCGCGCGGTCTCACAGGAGGTCCTACCACCAGTAAATTAAGACTAAGTAAATATTATGCACCCGGTACAGTTGTAAAAAAATATTTTTCATATAAGTTTATCACATTAAAACCTTACTATTAAAAATATTAAAATGTAAATACAAAAATATATTTTTTCTGAAAAATATGTAATATAAATGCAAGCGCTTTTATTACAAATGTATACAAAAATATAGCATTAAATTCGGTACAATTTCATATTTATTACGCGGTTCCGTAGTTACGGATCCGAAACAAAATGGATTTTTCACATTAAAAATTAAAATATTCATTTCGAATAAATCGCTCCCTCCACAAATCACTTTAAAAGCGATTTGTGAAAAAAAAATCATCAAATATACATTTGATCGTTTGGAAGAGTCGACACATTTACATGTAAATAATGTAAAATTGTGAATGTATTATTTGTTAAAATATCACCATTTTTATAATAATCGAAAAGCAAAACATTAAAAAAAATTACCAAAGAAATAATCACTATCACTATTGCACGCTTCTATTATTTATAAAATCCAAGGATACGTATATACGTATATATTATAGTCAATATTGATATTATAAGAAATTGTCTTAATATTAATGTTACCCATCTCTCTATCAGCCCATGGACGTCCACTGCTGGACATAGGCCTCCCCCAAACCTCGCCACAAAGACCGGTCCTGCGCTGCCTGCATCCAGCGGATCCCCGCGAACCTCAATACCCATCACTAGATTCTTTTTGACGTTTTCGATAAATTAAAGAACTTGACAGTATGCGGTCAAAATATAAAAGAAGTTTTTCCGAAATAATCGTAAAACTTTAAGATAATAGACAGATGCTGGTGATGTTAAGAAAACGGTAGGACGGGAACCTTAATGGTTAGTATTGGTCAATATTCAGCTCCTTTGTGAGATTGTCATAGATAAACATTTATAGGGCTTAGCCTGTGAGAGTATGAGACAGCATACTTATGAAGGTTTATTGAAAAAATCTATTAAAGTTAGTTAGTCACCTAAAATTTATAAAATGAAATTTTTTCAATATGGTTCTAAAAAAAGTAACTGTTTCAATTATTTAAAATAAAATAAGTAAGCGATGAACACATATCTCTTTATCTATTTGACTTGTTTGTACAGCGATCAAATAAAAAATGTTATGGACTATTTATTATCGGCCCAATAAAATTTTTAATGCTCATTTTAGTTGTGAATCCGGGTAACCGGATTTATATATAAAGTACGTGTCTGAACATAATTAATCAATAAAAACACTTTTACACTAATAAAAATAACTAATAAAAAATTTAACGGCAGACAGCGGCTTCGCTCTGCCCCTTGCATTGCTGAAGTCCATGGGCGCCTGTAACCACTCACCATCAGATGGGCCTTATGCTTGTCAGCCTACAAGGGCAATAAAAAAAGAAATTCGTATCAGCCATGAAAGATCTGTAGATATCAAGAAAATATACAATTAACAAAACAAATACGAAATAAAATCTTTAAAAGATCATGAGTAATGTTTAAAATTCGTAAAACCTCTCGAAAAAACTAAATCATTAGTTACTTACACAAATTATGAACGTCAGAAAATCATTGATTCATATCAAAAATATCTATAGTACATATTTAGGTTTTTTTCCTTTTGAGAACTTTCATAAATCTTCTGCCCAGATTCTTCATCCTTTCGACGCCGTCGCTGGCCTGGCTGTAGTCGCCACTCCAGGACAAGGTATCTTCGCTCCTGGCCGAGTTCGAGTCGTGACCGTTTGGGACGATGCTGTGGTCGGGGGTTCGAAAGAAGTGGCTCTCCGATCTGAACTCGGTGGCCAAGTTGTGTGAATTGGCCAAGTTGTTTGAGTTGGTCAACTCGACTATATTTAATGCGGAGCGACTGGACGTGGCACCGTCTAGCCTGAAACTTGATATAACTTATTTATTTCCCTGGAATACACATCGACGCACTCAACAAACAGCTGGAGCAAATGAAAGGATTGGACACAGCCCAAGTGTAGTTTGTCGATTACCACTGTTTACTCTATCTACAAAAGGACACATTATTTAAAATATTTAGTAATAATAATTAATAATTACCCATTACAATAGTACATTGTGCACCAAGGAACAAAAGTAGGACATTTCCTCCCGCGTGTAAAATTGACGGGATGAGATGTCCTACTTTATTCCCGCGGTGCACACACTATTTTTTCTCCTACCAGGCCGAAAGTTCGTGGAGTAGCGAGCTGAGGTCCAGGGGCAAAGCCCTGGCAGGGGCATAAAAAAACAATTTAACTGTTTTGTAATTTTTAAATAAACTACTACTAATTGAATAAGAACTGTCTGATGAACTCATCTTTGTTTAATACTTCACAATTAAATTTTATTGCCTTTTGTTTATTTCACTTTTACACTAAACCCAATATTGCAAATTACCCGAGCACAACAATGGCGGAGAATTTTAGGTGCGTGAGAGCAGACGTAGACACTAACGCGCATGCGCACTTGTCAGTATCCAGGGAGGAAAAGTTACACTTTCTTCCCCGTACAGCGAGAGGAAAAGTTACTTTCTTCCCTGCACAGCGGGAGGAAAACCGAACTTTCGGCGTAGGTAGGAGANACACTAAACCCAATATTGCAAATTACCCGAGCACAACAATGGCGGAGAATTTTAGGTGCGTGAGAGCAGACGTAGACACTAACGCGCATGCGCACTTGTCAGTATCCAGGGAGGAAAAGTTACACTTTCTTCCCCGTACAGCGAGAGGAAAAGTTACTTTCTTCCCTGCACAGCGGGAGGAAAACCGAACTTTCGGCGTAGGTAGGAGAAAAAAGTTATGATTGTAATAACTCTTTAGTTCTTAGATACTAACGTTTTGTCTATTTTGCAGGTTCAAGAAGCCCAAATAACAGGTAAAGTTTCTGTGGCTGAGCTGCTACACTAACAAAAGCAATAAAGTCCTCCTTCCTTACCTGGGAATAATTCTGTGTTGTCTCAGTGACTGTTTGAGTTTGTCCCAGAAGTTGAAAGTGGCTGATGTCGTGTACTTTAAGTTGGTGTAGTACTTGAGGTGAACTGGTAACTCACAATGTTGGTACACTATAGGTATCAACTTGTGTTCGAAGACGCGATTCCTTGATTCTGAAACAAGAACATATAGTTAAGAATTTTCAAGTAATATGATTGTGTTCCTAAAACACAGGGAGACGCTGCACTCTAACTTATAATGTATAAGTTCTTAATTGCATAAAAGTAAAGAGTATCCTACCCTTCGAAATGCAAAAATATTATTTATAACTTTTTTGGGTTATTAAATAAATTAATTAATAAATTGCATTGAATACAGTTTTGAAGTGATCACATAGCTATGTTTTTAATTTTTTTTTTTTTTTAAGAACACTATATTCCTAACCTAAAAGTAAATGTTATTATCCGCAACATGCTTCGTCAGATTTTGATTACAATATTTTCAACATTACAGTGTTAAGAATTAACAGTATATCTAGTCTTCGTTTTTTAAAATGGCACACTGTATATTGCAAAATGTTCACCGCAAAAATTACTCTTGGCTGGACAGAAAATAAAAAATATATTTACATATATTTAGATTGTTATTTGTATAGATAGTCCACCTGCTGTGTTGCGGTAGTTACTCACTTAGATATCTTATACCTTTAAACGAGCAATTCTTGTATATATATATAATCTGAATCTCGGAAACAGCTCCAACTTCATAAAATTTAGTATACAGGGGATTTCAGGGCCGATAAATCGATCTAGCTACGATTTATTTTCAGAAAATATTGTTTTATTCGTGTTTTCAATAATCAACTTTATGACTCTTCCCGACATCTATCGGCGAATAATAATACTATTTTTCTTAATGAGAGCAACTAATGCTTTAAATACACAATAACACTAAAGCTACTTCAGCAGATGGCGTTGTTAAGCCACCCGAAGCCAATAAATGTTTGGTTTAAGGTGAGACCAAGAAAATGAATTGTTTATTTATATTATTTGTGTCTTTTTAACTCACGTGATCACTTAAAAATGCCTAAACGATCTTGGAATATTTCATCATTTTATCAATATGTAATTCGTATTTCAATATAATTTCTAAAAACCACAATTTATCAAAAAAAAAATCATCTGGTCATCATCTGGTCAGAATTAAATTGCTGATTTACCCTTGTAATGCGAAATCCTTGATTCATTACTAAAATATCTTAAAATGAAATACATTAGGCCTGTAACTGTTGTTTTCAATTCTGCTTAACTTTTACTCGTTATATGGCATAGATTGATAATGAAAATTAGTCAAAGAATTGATCTCTTTCAATTTGAAGAATAGAAAAAGTGAATCTAATATCAATTGACCTATCAATGCGTTGAGTTGACATTTCAATTCTAAAATTGGTATATGATGCATACATCATATATCATAACATCAATTCTAAAATTCATATGTCAGCTACAACATACAACACTAATGTTGTATGTATTAGAATATCTAATAGATATATGAAAATACCTGTTCCTTACCGATACTAATAGCCTGTGCATAATCCCGGTAGAAAGTATTGGCCGGACTTCTCAGAAAGGCCGGTGAGTAGACTAATATGATATACTGGCATCTCTGCGAGATCAGCTGAGCCACAGGAGCATATTCTGTAGAGTGGCTAGGCAATAACTTCTCTTTAGTGCATATCTGGACCAATGAGAACAAGATTAATTTAAGAGTGGATATAACTCACACAGATTAGAAGTGAAAATCGTTTGACACAATTGCCATTTCCTCAATCTTCCTCTCCCCGTCAAAGATAATTTCAACTTAAGACCAGTCGAGTCCAGGGACCAGAAGAGTCACCCATCCACAACAATAAAAATGTAATGTTTCCCATGAGAAAAAGTTTCCTTTTGTGATCAAATTGCTACAGTTAGTCACCATATCGACGGTTGAAAGGCAAACATGACTAAGCGACAATAACTGCTTTGTCCATAAATGATAGGCAATAACCATATTCCATGCGCCAAAAAAATATATTTCTAGGTCTATTAAAATCATTTCAATCCTATAGCTACTAGCTAGATTCTACTACAGCTAGATTCGTTAAAATAAATTTTATTTTCAGGTATTTTAACTTTAAATTAGTCTACTGTAAAGTTCACGCATTGTCGCTTAGTCACATTTGCCTTTCAAGCGTCGATATATTTAAAAAGAAAAGAAATTATTCTAATCTAACCTGAAACATTCCTCCGAGTCTATTAATCATTTCCTCGACAAATTCCCTGTCCTCATCAGCATACAGAACAAACGCATCATAATGCTGCTCATAGCCTTCATCATCATCAATCGTTATAGGAACATACACATCTTCATTGGAGATTATATCATTGTGTTTAATTGCAACTTGTCCTCCTTCAAATGCTGGCTGATTTACTAAAAAATAAAGTGAATTGCAGTTAGTATAATTTAAAGTTTTTTTTCATAAAAATGGTTGCAGGGAAGTAGAACAATAATCAGTTTACAATTTCATTCTTGCCTCAATAATTTTATCCTTGTTTTGCGCTTTTAATCTAGAAACTGTAATGAACTTACCAGTTAATTCTCCTCTGCTTATATGTTTCCTCAGATCATCTATCACATCATCATGTACATCAAATCTGTCCAAACGCTGCAGAAATTCTAGAAGTTGGCCAACAGTCGGAGACCCGTTTCTCTGCCATATCTCTAGTACTTTATCAGTCTTATTGCTACACTGGTGGATGGAACCAGCTTCCTGTGATGATATTCCAACCAGCGACGCTAAGCCGCGCCAGTCTCTTAAAATTTTATCTTTTAATCAATTTATGAATATAACAACCTCACAAGTTCAATGGCATAAACCACATTGCAACTTTACCCAGATAACTACAATCTACATGTTTTAAAATCTATGGAAAATTTTCTAAACGAAACTATAGTTTGCAACTTTCTAATTCTTTACAAAGCACTCATAGTTATAAAATACAATAGTTATAAAAATAAAGACTTTAAAGCCTTCTTCCTTAGAAGCATATTTAATTTATTATGAAAAAAATATATAAAATTATAAATTACTTTATCATATTAGAGACCATAATTCATGTTAATTACATCTTGTTTGTCCAGTGTTGTAACAATAATTAGCTGCCGTATATTTTCTTTTGTGTCATTTGAATACATAAGCATAAACATTATAACTGAGGGGTCGGTGCTCGATACAAAATATTTAATATAATCATAATTACCTTGGCAGCTTATCAGGTCCATCGCTAGGTATAATTTTTTTAGTATTCAACAGGCACGATAACATTTGTCTTGTTTTATATGGAATCATTAATAACGGCAGATTGTTTATATCAGAGTCGCTGGCCATTTTCAACTGCATTTTGCACTATTTCATTTATATATTTTTATTTCACTTCCGTTTTGGAAGTTCAGCATTGGCAAAACGCTTGGTAAATACAATATTTACGGAGAAAATTGCAAAAAAACATTCACAGAATATTCACATCGCATGACGTATGATCACTTAAATAAATGAATGACAGAAATAGAATGTTGCCATATTCAGCAAAAATTCTCCATCTCTAATTTAATATTTTAATAACGAAAACTCAGATTTTATTCACCCAGAAATAGTACATTTTGCACCAAGGGAGAAAAGTAGGACATTTGCTGCCACGTGTAAAATTGCAAACACGCGGCATGAGATGTCCTACTTTTTTTACCGCGGTGCACATACTATTTTTTCTCCTACCAGGCCGAAAGTTCATGGAGTACCGAGCCGGGGTCCAGGGGCGAAGCCCTGGCAGAGGGTAGGGGAGCGGAGCCCTCCATACTCATAAAAAATCTATTTATCTGTTTTTTAATTTTTAAATAAACTACTACTAATTGAATAAGAACTAGGCGTAGATAGGAGAAAAATTATATTGACCACTGCCAGCCCTAGGATTGCGGCAGCGGTCTAAAGTTTCTTCACGAAGAAAAGTTATTCCTACTGGTATGATATACAGCCGACGAAGAGGGCAAACTGAGTCAGCAGTGGCCGGGAAATGTCATTAAAGCTAAGACTGGATAGAAGCCGAACGAGGACAAACCCATACGAGTCTATGGCTATAATCGAGACAGAAGGAATGAGTTCCCTTTCTTCAAATCTCGTGAAACGTGCACGAGAATGTCTGGCATGTCCATGTTGTACTGTTTGTAAAATTAAATAGGTAATGTTTTATTTTATAGATTTAAGTCTATAATATTTTTGTTGACGTATTTGCTTCGTATTTGATCGGCGGTAATATGTGTACATAGAGGCCCCTTGTCAAGTGATCTTCAGACTTCTATTTTGAACAATAAAATAAAGATAAAACAGATATTCAAGACTTTATTGTCATTCACAAGTTCATTCCCGAGTCGTTAATGTACATTTTGGAGGTATACAAAAAAATTGATTATTTTTCTTACAAAATCAGTTTACTAAAATTTAATACATGGTTAATAAAAAAAAGTGAAATATAGAATGAAAACAGGGCAACTTTGGCTTAACTGGAATTTATTTAGAAATGTCCTGGTATGTGCCTTCTAACCTTTTTAAGTTTTTGTACATTATCTATGTTATTACTTATTGAAAATATTTCGATACTACCTATTGCTACTTGAATTAGATTATTTTTCTAGGAGGGAGAGATTACTTATGGCCCGGAGACCTTTCCAGGTTCACCGGGACAGGTGGGCGAGCAGCCAGGAGGGGTGGCATTACTTAACAGCCGCCCGAGCGCCTCCGGAAGAGACCCACGGCTCCAAGCTGCTTCATGAATGCTACCGGATCGGGATTCCGACCAGCTGAGAAAAAGCGGCAAGAAACTCACCAGTCGGTTGAAAAGTGCAGTAGCAGTAGGCACATATACATTTAAAATCTATTTGAATCTAACAATTAATTTCGATACTTGCTGCTACATTGTGTCGAAAACAAATATAACAACTTAGGAACATAAGTTGCAGATCTGTCGTAAACATTATTATTATATATACATATACCTATAATATTAATGACAAATTGAATTCGCCCATGCACATCGAAATTTCTAATATATGTTTCGGCAGCTGATCAAGCCATGTTATCAAAGATCTCTTAAGATTTTTTTAAAGAATATTTCTAACAACCAGATAAGACAAGTCATACATATTATGTTTTACGTGCGGGTAAATAATACGCGTTTTGTTTAGTATTAAAGACATTAAAATATTTTATAATAAACATTAACGGTTTTATTCGTAATGGCAGAAAGAGACACTAAGAATCAAGATGCTTTCAGACTACGCTATACTATAGTGCCATATAGTATAGCAGCGTATACTTAGCCAATAATACCTATATAGTACAGTGTGAACGTGCCCTTAACAATGTATGGTGCGCGATATATTTGTGCTATGAGCTATATACTATATGCTATTATATTATAGCGTAGTCTGAAAGCAGCTTATTACTTTTTGATAGTTTTCTTACATCGACCTTATAAACCTCTGCTAACTAATTACGAATAAGACCGTAAACATAAGACAACGTATGATTATGCCTAACAAGAAGTTAATAAATAATGTATACTTCTTCATAAAACGTAGGGAATATGGATAGATGAAGGATTAATCTAATTTGCTTACAATTGTGTCGCATTGAATCATACGAGTAGCTGTCCTTTTTATGTACTCCTTCCTTACCACCATTTTCTTTTTTCTTTTTTATTGCTTAGGGACGGGACGAGCTCACAAGCCTACCTGGTTCTGGCCGCGCTTTATATTTCATGAAGAAAGAATAATAGTATTTTGTACTATTTTTCTTATAAAGTCGAAGGAAAGAGACCGCGCGGCCGATCACTGAGCCGCTGGTGTGATCAAATAACCACCCTAACTGGGCTGCCAGTCGCAACCGCCATTCGAGAAGCTGAGGACCGGACGAGGTGGAAACAGCTCACGAGACACGCCACGATCAAGTTTCAGGGGCACGACCGACAGTAATGAAAAAAGCGACGAAGAAGAAAGTACTATTGTGTTCTTTTTAAAATAATGACTAAGTATAATAAATACTAGTATATTATTTTGAGTGTCAAATTAATTAAATGACATTGCTTTATCGTCCAGTACAAGGTCAAGTCACACATTTTGTAAAAATGAATATTTAAAAAAATCCTATATTTAAAAAAAATGACATGCCCGCTGAGTTTCTTGCCAGTTCTTCTCAGGACGGAGGCTAGTTTTTGTGAATTGAATTTTTGATGTTCAACAAGTGTGTACTTTCATTTATGTTGAATAATAAAAAAATGATTTTGATTTGATTTTGAAGTCCAGTAAGCAAATACACAAACAAGATACTGAATGAATAGAAATCGTGATGATTGAAATGTTTTACGATTTTAAAGCTGTAATGAAATTTCACCGAATAATATTAGGGAACTTAAAAGTAATGAAGAAATTAGTTCTTTTACATTGTGTGTTTTATTTAATTTCGAACCATAAACGACATTCTTCGTACGTCACATTACACGCATTCATAAATCACATTCGAAACACATCATAACACCTTTTCCTTATAACAAATAACTTGTTAATCAATCAACACTCAACAGTGACACAAGTTGAAATTTTTGTTCGCTTACCCTCTGAAATTGTCTTGTGCCTTAAAATTTAAGTAGAGAAAAAAAAACAGTCTTTAAATAAAATAAAATAAATAATTACAACACTTATTAGAAATATATTTACTAGTAAGCTCTTTATTAATGGAATGTTAATGTCGCCACAACTTGTAGACACAAAATTAAATTAATGACTTCAACGTGAATAATACCATATGCACAAAATACTTTCAAATTCAGGTTACAGTCTAAAACAGTTTTGGATTCAACATAATAATAAAACACGACTGTGAGCCGATCTAAACTTTTTTTTTGTAGTTGACTAATGCAATTTTAGACGTGAATAATTCAGTAATTATATAGAAAAAGATATACTACGTCGAATGGTTGATTAAAACAGAAGATTATGTCCAAATATCCTTTCAAATCAATTACACTACGGTTCATTTAAGATCAATATGGAATTTATAGAGTTATAAGTGATAAAAATCTTCTGAAAATTATGATCTTTAATACCTCAAATAGATTAGTACGAACCGCCTTTAGCAACGACCACTGGTAGATTTAGTGACGACAGCATACAATGCTCACTAAAACGGGACTGGGAAACTCCTGATAAACACGTTTACAGCGAGGGAGAGAATTACGTATTAGCAAATAGTAAAGTACGGTACGGTACTTCGTGCGAGTTTTTTAACTTCTCGACCGCGTAAAAGTTAACTCAAATTTGTACGGAGTTGGCAAAGTGCCCCTATCGGCAAACGAAGAATGGCTAGAACTTGGTAGAAACTAGTCACATTGTGTCCAAAATTATATCTCTTTTTCAAAATCAAAGTACATAAGGCAATATTCACTAAGTTAATTAAAAATATAACATATAATATTTAAGATTAGTCTTCGATATTCGGCAGAACAGCTTTCTTACTATTATATTATATTTCATAAAAGATAATAACAATTTTATTACTTCTTATTTTTCCTTTCATACATATTTACATTCCAATTTACATTATTTTCATATTAATTGTGCTTCACCAACATTCAGTTTACACACAACCTATTATGTAAATATTAAATTTACAGACACTATTCTGGTATTAAAAGGATAATAAATTACGCAATGAAATTACAAACTCAAAGCAAAAAAAATAATTACCGTTTGTATTAATTTCTATTGAACGACGATAATGAATTTTAATGACTTTAGTCTAGATCAGCGGTCGGGGAACTTTTTTAATTATTACCCCAAAATATTTTTGTGTAAGTTGATATTACCTCATGGCGAAGTACAAAAAAAAAAAACGCTTCTTTTTAGCATCTTTCATATTATAGCCCCCATGATAATTTGAAATTGCAACGATTCTAAAGAAGTTTCAGTTCAATATATACTTTTTACTCACAAACGTTTCATTTTTACCACCCAAAATTTCATTTTACCCCATTTGGGTTAATTTACCCCGGTTCCCCGACCGCTGGTCTAGATCATAAGGTACCGAAACTTTTAATAATCGCCAATCAATATCCATAATCCAAACAGTTAACCTTATCAATAAAATAAATTATTAAAAAAAACATTAATCCTTAAATAAATATACCAAACAAAAAAATATAAAATTATGTGAACAGAATAAATACTTAGTAAATTATGAATAAGGTTATTAATATATTAATCTGACAAACGTTAGTGGCAAGATATTTGCTTTTATTAATAATTTATAGAGTTTGCAACATTGCATTAACTCATTAATAAATGATATATTTAGATTGTTTAATACATAAGAAGGCAAGATAAAATGATTAGCAAAATTTGTTTTTCGAGCTGAATCAGACAGCGCTTCTGCTGGCTATAATAACTGACTTGTGAATCAACATTTATATTGTGACATAATGTCATTAAAAATAATAAACATAATTCCAGTAATTAATAGATATGAAAATTAATGCTAGATTTGAGAAAAAATGCTTTTTATTTGTTATTTGTAAAAAGAGCGCTTTTATTAAGGGGCCATCCATAAATAACGTCACACGAAATCCCCCCCCCCCCGCCTCCCCTGGTCCAGGTTGTCACATTTTTATAACCCCTCCCTGTTTTGACGTCACACATTCTTTTCAATTTATGCATAAATTTAGCTATTTTAATTTTTTTACTTATTTTTAATCTTTTTATTTATAATCTAATAAAATCAAGATACAGTTCAATATTTCAGATAACCGAAAAAACAAACGACTACATAGTTCGAAAGCAATAAACCACTAATTATGTTAATTAAAGATAAAAAAAACTTAATTATCTAGTGTCCATGGACTTTGGAACCGCTCTTTTATATTCTCTATTACCGGTATATCAGGCATTTCATTTTCGTTCTGAATTTGAACATCAGGAACATCCTTAATGACGTTGCATGAGAGATAGCGAGAATGCTAAATTATTAATAACTATAATTCAAGTTCGTAGATTTTTTAAGTTTTTTATTTACATCTAAGCTTCGCGTTTTAATATTTTAAATTTTAATTCACATTGCGGTGATACCCCCCCCCCCTCCCCATCAACGTGTGACGTAATTTATGGATGACCCCTAAGAGAGCTATTTCTCGACATTCATTACTACTATTGTGTGGTGAAAATAAATTCATTAATCTTATTCGTCCATCTTGATAGTCAAAAGATTTTTTTTAACGATATTATAGCTAATTTCACATTCATAATACTTAGTCATTTTAGTGTTGCAATATTTAAAAATACCTATAATAACGTACAGCCTATATTTCCCAAACAATATATAAAATCTAATAAAAAAAAGAAGTAAAATGTTACATATTTTGCTAAATACAAAATTACATACTGATATGGTAATTTGATATTGTAAGAATTCCTAATTTTTATTGCTTCGTAGTCAAACGAGCGTACAGACCACCTGATGGTGAGTGGTCATCCCATAGACACAGCCCACTGAGTTTCTCGCCGGATCTTCTCAGTGGGTCGCGTTTCCGATCCGATGGTAGATTCTGCGATGCACTGCTCTTGCTAGGGTCAGTGTTAGCATCACTCCGGTTTGAGCCCCGTGAGCTCACCTACTAGCTAAGGTTACGCTGAAATAGTCAGCTATCAGCTTAGGTAGGAAAAAAAAGCGTGGTCAACCAAGCCACTACATCCTACCGAGGACTCTTAAGCGGCTGGCCCTAACTTAATAGGTTATATTAAGTTAAATGTTGCGGTATTACGAAGTAAGTACTTACATCAATATGGCTGACAATAATGCATGGAAAATTCGTAAAGAGAATTATGTGATAAAAACGTAATAACGTAAATTACCCCTTATCTACGTAGCACGTTCACGCTACGTTATTCTAGTTTTCATATGAACAACTTCAGCTGACTACCCTAGTCCACAATGCTAACTATAATGCGATGTTGCTATTTTTAACACCCCCGCCCCCTTGTATCAAACGGGAGAAGTTATCAACTAGATTTTATAAATCTATCGTACTGTCATCTTAAGAACCTATGCAAATTTAATATACATAATATTTACAAAATTTTCATAATTAAACATGAATAGGCTCACAAAGTTTCTTAACATTGTTTTATAGAATGTGGCCCGGGTCTCCGCGAGTTATTAAAATCCATCGGGATCGCATTGATGTGCCATTAAATTAACTACTAAACAGCGACGTGCAAGTTGCGGTAAAAGCTGTGCCGACTATGTCCTAATCTAAAGGCACTACAAGCAAATGTGACGAGATACGTATTTTCCACACGTTAATGTCAAAATTTTCACATGGTATCATCAGTCTTACACAGTTTTCTTTGCAATCCGTTGTGATACGTTCATTAACTTGATGAATTATTTAATTAATTAATTGACGAATTGTTAACAAAATGAATCGAATTACACGATTTTGCCAACTTCACCATAACACAAATCGGCTAACTTTTATGGCTAAGATCTCAAATTCGATAAATACCTATCATTTAGTAAAAGTCACTACCAGGTGATACAATTTCATACTTAGTTTGAAAAAAAATACACTCAAAAGGTATTGTATATTATGTAAAATATATCTAACAGAACAATTATGTAATACTTAATAAAATTTTGGAATATTTTCATATAACACTAGCGACCGGAATAACAAATTGATTGCAATATTTTAGATATATTAATTTTAATTCTGAAGTACATATTCTGACGAACTGATGATCCGAGGTTAATGTCAAAATTAATCGGTACCATCTTCAAAGAGCATATTTCTTCAGAAGCAGCCTGCCTAATATCCTACCTTTTTCTTATTGCTTAGATGGGTGGACGAGCTCACAGCCTACCTGGTGTTAAGCGGTTACAGGAGCCCATAGACATCTACAACGCAAATGCGCCTCCCACCTTGACATATAAGTTCCAAGGTCTCAAGTACAGTTATAACGGCTGCCCCAACCTTCAAACCGAAACGCATTACTGCTTCACGGCAGAAATAGGCAGGGCGGTGGTACCTACCCGTGCGGACTCACAAGAGGTTCTAGCACCACTAATATATACCGGCATCTACCCACGACGGGACTACAAGGCTACTTATTATCAACAATACTAAATACTTTGTGTTTATAGTAGATAGTAATAGTACTGGTATACTCGTAGTACTCAATCAGTGTGCTTAGTGCGAATTTTTTTAATTTGTCGATAGCGTAAAGGTTAACTCTAATTTGTATGGAGTTGGAACGGTTGCCTGCGTTTGTCGCTAGGGGCGCTGTTCCAACTGCATACAAACTTGAGTTAACTTTTACGATATCGAGAACGTTAAAAAACTCGCACCAAGCACAGATTATTGTGTAAACTATAAATTCCTTTGCTACTGCATTCACCAGGCAGATCAATTTATTCCAACTAAAATGAAATAATTATTTTTAGATTAACTACTACTCCATTCCAAGCTCTTTTGAGAAAAAAAAAAACATGGAAAGTCATTGATGATTTTGGAGTTAATTTTGATGATACCCGAGATTCTGAACGTATCAGAACTTCGACAATTTTGAAAGGCATTCGCGAAATTAACGACTAAGTTAAAAATACAAAGGTACGCGCGTGCATCGATCGATCGCCCTCTACCGTACACTTTTGGCAACAACGCTTAAGTCTTCATTCACGCAATTTGGTCACTGCAAAACTATTCATTAGCACGAGGCAAGAAGTTTAATAAAAGTATTTTTTATTAAACTGATTTTAAAATAATTCGTATCTTTAGAATTGGAAGTGGCTTAATCAAAAATTCTAATTTTTTGGTAAACTCAAAAAAATGAAGAATTGTAACTTTTTTGTTTTTCGATTTTAATACTTTAAGGTATGCGGATGATTTAAAAGAGACGGAAAGAGTACCTTTGTCCTTTTCTGAACGTTCTATAAATTTTTTATTTTAAATAAGAACATGAGTTGACAATTTATTATAAAAAAAAGAACACAATATTCCTAACCTAAAAGTACATGTTATTATCCGCAACATGCTTCGTCAGATTACAGAAATAAAGTTATCAGCAACATGCTTCGTCAAATGCTTCGTTTTCTGAACTAAAAGAGACAGTCTAATTTTATAAACTGTTAAAGTACATGTCTATAAGTGGTTCGAAGTATAAAACTCGTTTTCTTAAAATTGTTTAATTAAGCTACTTCAACTCTAAAGGTGCGATATATAATGCGGTCATCAAAATGTAGCTTAATAGCGACATAAATTATTATTGCCACGCTAATAGATTTGGGAACCGGTGTCCATGCTATTCGTGTGACGTAAAGCCTAAAATTCATTTTAAAAGGTTCAGTGTCACTCAAATATTAGACTACATAACCGCAGCGACGGAAGGTAGATATATATTATCAAGACACATAAGTTTCACAGTAAAAAAAAATTATATTTAGGACACTTTTTTCGTTTGAAAACTATATGTTTATTCGAAATGAGATCATGAATGATCATGATCATGAATGCTTCATCAAGAATTTGGTTTGTCCAGTCGAGCCATTATATTTTCAAATCGCAAATGTTGCTAATTTAAAATATTTTGTTAACACCTGTAACCTGGCAACATTTTTTTGTTATTCTACTGTTGTTCTTCTTATATTTACTAAATAAAATAAATGGTAAATTATTAATGTCGAATACTGTTAACAAATATGAATGGAATGCTACATTTTGATATGATAAAACTTAATACTAAAACCCAGACCGAATATTTATTGGCAATATATAAGTGCTTAATAAATAGTTAAATTAAATTAAATTATATCATTCCATGTCTTTGAAACCGCCTTTTATTGTTATCGCACATTGAGTCTTACAAAAATATTGATTTTTGGGTATACCGTCTGTACACCCTAATTTGACTTGTCACGGCCTCTCGCATAACCTCAGACCTGAAAGAGCCCTTATTGCGAAGGCTTTAAAGTCGAGAATCATTGAGTCTCGCCGCTCAAACAGACAAGGTCACCACAAAATTATCCAGAGAACTACCCACATTTCAGTTATGCGCTGCTCTTTTACCTTGCATGTATCCCTCCCATCTTTTGGCCGTGTTCAGTAGTATAGGATCATCGTCCAATCCAGCTAAAAGGTAAAGCTGGTTAACGTGGGTGGCGTGGTAGTCCCACCTGGCTATATTGGGGCTGACTCCCAACGTGAAATGCCTCAGGTCGTAGAAGCTTCCGCTGCCGGTGTCGAACAGTGGTAATAGAGTTTTGAGTGACGTCATTCCGTCGTCAAACATCTTCTTGGCTAGAGACATGGAGTTCTCACCTTCAATGACGTGCAGGTCGTAGAGACCGAGGAGCGTGTAGATGAAGCCGTTTAGAACGAAAAGCGGAGGCTTCGTTGGGTATTCTTCGTACCTAAAATTTATGGTATTATTATATACTTTTGTATTGGCAATACAGAACCATCATTATTTTCATTCGGGACTTTTTGGCGGGAACGCGAGGAGTGAAGTTGTGTGATTTGTTTTATTTTGTCTATTTAGTGTTTCTTCCGGTTCAAATGTGTAATAAAGGTGGTTTATTAATTGTTTAATATCTGTGAAAGTGCACAAATGTGGGAAAATGAAACAAAAGCCGCTGGATGTAAGTTCTCGGGATCCTCCAAAAAGTACACTGAAAAAATCTCAGTATATGACCACCATTTTACTAAGATTATATTCCATCCCATTTCATTTCATTTAATTTCATCCCAGTTGATTAATATCTCAAATTAATCATCTTCATTTCATTTCACTACATATTATCATTTTTCATAAAAATAAGAATAAAAACTAAAATGAGATATGGCTTAAAGGTCTTAGTTACAAGGTCATAAAAACCCTTTAAAAAATTTTTTTTGATTCGTGAAAGAGTAGATAGTATACTTGTATAGAACGAAATTTGCGATAGTAGTGGCTCTTAACTGTTTGGGATCTGTGATAGCGCGCGAGTATAGTATTGCAGACGTCATTTTTTTTAAATGAATCAATGTACCGGTTCTCCATCCTATATTGTAGTAGTACATGTACAATAAACCTTATTACAATAGGTTAACGTTCAAAATTACCAAACAAACTTGTCCATCCACAGGGCCTTGACCCCACCGGCGTGGCTCGGCACGTCCAGCACGTAGAGCGCGCGGCGGGCGGCCTGCAGGTACGTGACGTCACCGCTGCGGGAGTACGCGCGCGCCAGCACCGAGATGGCGTGGCCCTGGCTCATCGCGGAGTACCTGTACCCGAGCGAACCCAGAATCAACAAGCTGCTCTTTATACGCTGCACTAATCACGTAAATTAATACGTACACAGACGGACAGATTATTTCTGCCGTGAAGCAGTAATGCGTTTCGGTTTGAAGGATGGGGCAGCCGTTGTGATTATACTTGAGACCTTAGAACTTATATCTTAAGATGGGTGGCGCATTTACGTTGTGGATGTCTATGGGCTCCAGTAACCACTTAACACCAGGTGGGTTGTGAGCTCGTCCACCCATCTAAGCAATAAAAAAAAAAGATAAGTCCTCCTATCGGCCATACAGTAAGGTCTTCATTTATTTATTTTATTTTTAAAATCACATGACGAGTGAATGAAGCAAATGTAGATATTACAAACACGAACAGAGAAACAAAACAGTTCGTGACGCGTCAGCCGTAAGAGGCGGTGCGTTCGCGGGCAGTCGAAATGAAGTCACGGAAGCTTTGAAATGTGATCAGATGATGTATGAAGTCGAGCTGGTTAGACGATGTGTACTGACCATCCGGGCGCGAGGTCGGCGACCCCGGCGGCCACCCGGCGGCGCGCCGGCACGGGCCAGCCGCCGCGCCCGCGCTGCGCCCGCACCAGCCAGCTCGCCGCCGCGTAGAACTGCGCCATGTGCTCGCTGGACGACACCGTCACGTTGTCCAGCCCGCCCGTGCCGCTCAGTATTACACTTGATATCTGTACAAACATTATCACGTCCTTACGGATCCATCAGATCCAATAACCTTTGCATTAGACGTCTTCAGCTCTAACACTAGGAGTAAGCTTAGGAACCCCGGTAACCGTACTCGTCGAATTCGACAAAGAGGTCGGCGAGCAACCTAACCCATGCATCAGCCCGCTGAGTTTCTCGCCGGATCTTCTCCGATTCCGATCCGGTAGTAGATTCATTCGCGAAGCAATTGCTCTTGGGTGGTTACGTCTTATTCGGAGGCACTCGGGCAGTTGTTAGCAAATCCCATCCCTCCTGCCTTTGCTCGCCCACCTATCCTGGTGAAACTGGAAAGGCCCTTTTAATCATAAAAAAAACAAACATCATTCGAATAATTCCTCTTCAATAACGTTTTTTTTACACAGAAGATACATTTCACAGCGTGCCGGGACTAAAGTAACGAGGACACTGTTTTTATGATTTTTGAAGATGATATAAATAAACCACATTTATCCGAAAGTTTTGTAAATTGCATGGAATACACCTCACTTCAGCATAAAATGGAACATTTTTATTTTTACCTTAAATTTATTCCTAGGAGACCTCCGTTTGGGTCTATCCTGTAAGATCCAACCCTTCTGCATGTCGATTATGAGATCTCTCGTTATCTTCCTCCATTTCTGTTCCACGCCGATGCCGTAGTAAATGTGATCATCCTGGAACGAAAAGAACACATTATTTTTTACTGTCTCGTGTAACCATTAGAGACAGATGTTTTTCAACAAAATTTCGGAAAGATGAAATACATTTAACTCTGTGCCCAAATTAGACCAGCGTTGCTTCTGATAGGGACTAATGGAGACAGCTGAAGGAGATCCATGCCTGAAGGCACATCTTATCAAGAAACATTCTTATTGAAATACTTCAACTATTGTTACATTTTAAGTAATGTAATGTACTCTTTAATGAATTGATCTTGATTGAACCATGCATTGCACTTAGAGAATAGTTAGTTTTTCCAATAAACAAACTCTAAGTTTAAAGCCTAAATACTTTTAAAACTTACTTGAGCATAAATAAGCTGTGTACTCGCAACATAGTGGAGATAAACGGTTTCCTTCTTTTCCTTATTCTGCAGTACAACTGTCATCGAGGAGTTGGGCTTCATCATCACATCGGCACTCAGCACGAAATCCTGACTAATGTTCACTTTCAGCCACACTTGACTCGACACGTGGTCTGACGTAGAAAACCTTAGAATATTTGTTTGTGATTCTGAGTCATACTCCCTGACCATAAAGGCATCTTTGCTGACGATCCAATTCTCTATATGTTTCTCGCCATCATCGATGATCCTCCGTCTCGGTTCGGCTTCGGTCAGGAACTTACTGTAGTGGGCCAGACCGAACTGGGCTATTTGGGTGGGGTAAAAGAAACCCTTGGGGTCCCATTGAGTAGAGATCGGCACTCCTTCGATCCCGCTGATGCATTTCACTCTGTCACGTACTTCAACGTTGTAGTTCTCAAACGTGGTGAATGTGCCGCGCGGGTCGTATTTCTTCTTAGGATGGTATATCTTGCCGTAACTGTGCGACCATTCGAATTTTTCAACGCCGTCCGTTGTAGTTATCTTACCGTATATCTGTGAATGATTTTTTTTATTGAAAAAAGTGGCTGTTTTGTTTACTTCATCGACAACAAAACTCTACTAGACCACTATGAAGACGATGATGATGGCATTAGTTTGAAATGTTTAATGTAATATGTCGGCCCTGCTCTACGGAAAACGTTAGTATGGTTGTACCGACCCGTCCGGGATAATAATATGTCAAAACACCAGTAAAATGATGGGTGGGCATGTCATTAGGGCTATGGGTACCTCTAACATCATTAAATGATCGTGCTCCTCTAACTTCATAACTGAACAACACAATTGTAGATACCACAGTAAAACACTTTCAAATGGCAGAGCTCTCTGTAGCTCTATTCAACATAAATTGATATTTTGATTATTTTTTATTTTGCTCTATACATACTAACAATAATTTGTAGTGTTATTGGTAATGTTCTTCTCAGATCAACTGCAAATGTGTATCAATATAAGCATTTAGATTGGTATGTTCTCTACTTGCGGTCGAAACAGACAAAGAAAATATAATTTTTGTAGGTTTATCTCACCTCAAAATACTTATGTACAAGTGAGAAAGGCACATATACGTCGTCTCTCTCGCGATCCCGCCGACATGACACTGAATACTCTCCGTTAATTATGCATTCAATGTCATCTGCACCGTGACCATGCTCAGACAGAACTGAACCTACTGATAATGATTACAGAATAGAAATTAGTTTTCTTCCTGATGTTACTTATAACTTAATATTGGATTGATCGGTAATGGCTTTGGCAGTGTATATTGAAACTTTAACCAAATGTCGCAATATCATTTTAACATAACATACATACATATTAACATTTACTAATGATAACTTGTGTAATCATGCAAAATTTGTTGTCTGAAGATATTTTTCCTCAATTCTGTTAAGGAATTTGGGTATCAACAAAAGCAGTTAAAGTTTAATTAGCCTCCTTTGATTTTATAAGTTTGCTCATTACAAAATACTCCTTAGATAAAAACTTTTACTAACTAACAACAACTTACAAGGTCTTCTAGAGAAATCACCACAGTGTCCCCAGAATAGAGTGAAGAGCAGTACTGCGACGCAGAGAGCGCCCAGCACTGTCTTCATGTTCATACGCACCAGCATCATGCCTGCCACCTAAAACCAATTCATTATTATAAAATAAAGTTTTGTAGGTATGTAAATTTTATTTAGTGATATTGAACTTAAATTAACATTAATAACATTATTATTTTATTAACATTATTATATATTAATATTATACTGTAATTACAGTTACACCATTTAGCTACTTTGATCTGCCTTTCAGAAAATCAAGAATTAATTAAAGATTTTAATAAAAGACTAGCCATACCCATCCGCTTCGCTAGGCATTTAAGATTAACATTATTATTCCCCACAAAGATTCTCATCATTAACGCCCCCGCAACTGGCGTAGGGAGTCCAACACTCATATAAATATTAGGCCATCCATTAAGTACATGTATTTTCTACATGGATACCAAGTTTCAAGTTAATCAGATGCATGGTTCAGTAATTATAATAGAACATCCATAAAAACCACTGTAGGTTTATATATTACTATAGATTAAAGAACAAAAGATTGTTTCAAAGTAATGAAACCTCACAGGGGCAACAGGTTATTACAACAATTACTTGTTGTAATAACCTGTTGGCTATGGTGACCCCTTACCTGATAGGATGTGCCATAAGGTGTTCTAATAAATAATTCTAAAGAAACTCCACTTCCAAGCATATAATAGAGAAAAAAAACTCTTTTTTTAAAGAAAAAATTATAATTCTTTAGACAAACTACAACTGTAAAATATCTTTTAGTAAGTCTAAAAATAGCAACCAAATCAGGTACCCAGGCCCTTACAGGGCGTGGGCGTAAGTGTTACATTAACATTAATAATTAAAATGAAACTAAAACTACGAGACCAACCAATTAAACTCAAAAATAATGTGTTCTAATTTTAATAATAAATATAAAAGATAATACAAAATTTAATCCATCTTACTTTGTATCAAAAAATGATTTTCCATCCGTCCGATCGTTGCATCAAATGCACACTCTAAACAACATCACTTCCACATCTCGAATATACAACCAATGAATAATGTACACTCTGTGGCTGTGTTTTTAAATTAATATTTACATTTACAAAGTTTTAGGACAAGCACGAAAGCACCTACTCTCAGCTGACTTTTGACAACTGACATTCTGTTTTCGTTTCGTACACAAGACAGGCAAAAGAAACATTACCCATACAGCAAATATTTTCAACAAAACTCCCTTGTTGAATGAAAAGTGAAATAAATGGAAATAATGTTGGAAATCAATTTGGATTCAGTGAGATGAGGTAATACAACATACAACGTAGGCGATGGATGAGATGTAATGAAATAATCTTTAAGTAAAATGGTAAGAATTACTGAAACTCTAATAGACTTTTTGGAACATGCCTTCATCAAAATAATTACATTTTCTTCTGACAAGTTTATTTATTAATTTCTCGAACTCAGATTAAAAAAGCTCCTTGATGTTAAATAATTAGCGAAGCTATTAGATATTACAACGTGTAAAACGGTCCAAACCGGAACGCTTTACTGATTTGCAGTCAATGTAGGCAGGACGATGATATCCACCTGTGCGGGTTTATAGTACGCACGACTAGCTGTTAATACTGGTTGGCGATCGCAGTAGAAAACGTGGTAGAATGGTGGTAGAACACACAGGGAACGCCGATTCTCAGTCTCAAATGAATCACAGTCGCCCGGAATTAATATAACGGTTCTTGTTTTCTATACACTTGAGTAAAGGTAATTAGTTCAAAAGTTTATTCTAATTTTAACTACAACTAAACAATATAATATATGGGGTGGTGCCATTGTCAATGGCGCCGATTGAAAATAATTTATTCAGAAAAAATTCTAAGTATTTTGGAACTCCATAATGTATTTTTAACTTAATAAAATACAATTACTCAATGACATCGAGAAAAGCCTGAATGCTAAGTTTCTGACCCGAACCCCAAATTACTCATAACTCAATTATTTGCATGAAATAGTATCAACAACAGATTATATTAGGAGATTATTAAGTTAAAAACTATAGAAAATCACTATTAAGTCAATGTCATACAAAAACGCGAGGCAGACACGAAGAGTTATTTTCTAGACAGTAATAAGGCTTCCAAAGACAAATCGGTTTATCTCTAATGCGATATAGGTATCCAAGCACAGGAAACACACGCCCAATCTGATTTATGGTACGCCTAACTGTTAGACAATTAGGTATTGTTTTATATTCATTGTCGTATCTTTGTTTTTAATTGTATTTTTGGTAGACAAGTAGATCTTCTATAAGATTTTTTTGTCAATTTAAGAGACGTAGTCTTAGTTTGTGAGGTAAAATTTCAATTTACTGTGTAATGCAAATGAAAATTCGACCTCGCCTCTTGAGGTAGATAGGGGCACCATCATTTTCATCTTGTTAAATGACATGCTGACCGTTGACACTATGCTCGTCTGCCTACAAAGACAATAAAAAAATATTTTTTATATCGACATGAAATAAATTCATTATTTAAAATTTTCATAGCACTCGAGGAAATATCCGGTTAAATCCAATTAATATAGAATGCGTGATAGCGTAGTTAGTCTGTGATGCGATCATAGGTGGAATAATGTTATCAATACATTCATACAATAACACAAATGAGATAAAAAATATCCTATAATAGAGTACCACATTTTATTGGAATCGATTCTTCAATAAACTTGAGACATCAAATTCATATCTCAAGGAGTAACGCGCTCTTATCTCTGTGGACTCAAATAATCGGACAGATAGAAACGTCCGTTCATAATACAAACATAGGATATTAAAAGTATACAGATTCACAAACAAACAAACGAGTACAACAACAGTAAAATGGGCTGTCTTAATGTTATAGAGCGATTTTTTGAGACTACCCTTCTAATTTTCAAAAATAATATTCAAATACAACCTAGTTTTATCTAAACTCAATCAAATGTTCCTTCGAAGTAAATCGCAAGCTTAAATTGTTTCCAACTTACAAACAATAATCCGAATTCTGAGCGTCGCTCCGTCACTAATCCAATATTAGTTGAACGCAGTGTACTCAGCATTAGGCGACAGTTCGTTAGCACCCGACCCAGGTTCGACGAGCTCTGTCTGCGTTCTATCGTCCTCCCCGGGACAAGGACCTCACAAAGTGACCTTAAATGTTGAGGCTATTTTTATATCGAGTCTGGTCAATGCACGTTTAAACATAAATCTTAAGTCAAATAAAGAGACGTAGCAGACATTTTTTTTCTTTTTTGTTATTGCATAGATTGGTGGACGAGCTCACAGCCCACTTGGCGTTAAGTGGTTATCGGAGCCTATAGACATCCACAATGTAAATGCCACCACCCGCCTTGATATGAGTTCTAAAGTCTAAGTTTAGCTACAACGGCTGCCCCACCCTTCAAACCGAAACGCATTACTTCTTCACGGCAGAAATAGGCAGGGTGGTGGCATCTACCCGTGCGGACTCACAAGAGGTCCTACCACCAATAAAAAACACGTTGGTACAAATACTAACTTTTGTGTCGCATTCAACTTGACTTATAAGCTTATCATGTAAGCGCTACTACCTAGTTGCGTTCAATGGACTACTATGAATGAAAATTTAACGAGTTGTATTATTTATATGAATGTCTCATAATCGCGCTGTTTGTACTTAAACATTGACGAAATGTACGCAACTATCTGAAACCCAATTAAGTATTGTATTCGTGTACGGAGCTATTATTATAAATATTAATGTGAATTCTGCACCGAACAGAACATCTTGGACGCGAAGGCTTTGAACTAAGCTATCGGGTCCGTTATCTAGGGGACATTATCTAAATAGTGCAATCAGCGTATGTAGCGGCGGGTAGGGTGGCGGGCGGGGGCGGCGTCGAGGAGGTCAGTGTGTCAGGGCGGATGCAGCGGCGGGCGGGCGGCGCAGGCGTGGCGCGCACATCGATCGTCGCCCACGCGCGCACCGCCGCTATCTGCCCCGCGAGTCGCGACGCGTCCCGGGCCCGGCCCACGGCGATGGCGGCGTGAGCTCGCGCCGCCACCGGCCTCCGGCGGACATGCCGCGATGGCCAGAGAGGTAACCTTCCGTGGAGGCTTCGCCCCGATCCGCTTATGTAACCGCGACCGCAGCGCGACCCGCACCGCGCTCCCTCGCCGCCGCCTCGTGCTCTCGGACTCGTTCGTTTCAGTGTCGGACCTGTGCCTGGAGTGATGACTGTGTGCAGCCCTGGNGCGTGAGCTCGCGCCGCCACCGGCCTCCGGCGGACATGCCGCGATGGCCAGAGAGGTAACCTTCCGTGGAGGCTTCGCCCCGATCCGCTTATGTAACCGCGACCGCAGCGCGACCCGCACCGCGCTCCCTCGCCGCCGCCTCGTGCTCTCGGACTCGTTCGTTTCAGTGTCGGACCTGTGCCTGGAGTGATGACTGTGTGCAGCCTTGGGTATCCCGTGCACGACGCTAGCGAGGGCTCCTACCGCAGACACGGCGCCCTCCGTGAAGGGTGTGGAGCCGATTTGGTGTCTCGCTCCTTCCGTACTCGTCGCAAATGCAATCAGGATCTGAATATTCAGGATCTGTATTAATAACTTGGTGTATATTTTTGTCGTCTCGGTGTCGAAAGCTCAAATAATCCGAACAGCCCCACATGCTGATAACACATTACACTTCCACAAACCCCATGTTACCCCATATGACTAGATTTCAGTCTTTTATTTAAGTGCATTAAAATTAACACACCCAAAAAATTTAACCAAACAATCAATTTTAATTCCGTCCTTTTGTTACTACAATACAAAAACGGTATCTTACCTGAGTCATAAGCGCCTTTATAGTCTAATGATTTGTAAGTTATAGGCAAGTATTATTTACCCAACCCGGTCAGTCCCACAGAGCATAGAAATAGATATGGCATTACACATTTTGACAGTATATACTTTATAATAATATATCAACATTATTAATTGAAAATTATTAATAAATAGACTTCCACAAAATTTAATTCGTAAAATATAATTCATTTAGAGAATGTTT